TACATTTTATAGTTCACTGAAGAATAGGCAAGAGCCAATGAGTCTACTCTTTTTGTGTAACAGATTATATTTAATAAAATATGCTTTTAATACTCTGCATATATGTGCATGGTTCGTTCGTTCGTTGTTTTAGTGTCTCACTGACTTAGAAATGGAAGCAAACTGTTTTGAGAAATGATTTAGGATTGTCTCGTTTTATTTGAACTTCTAGTACGCCTCTGCTAAAATGTTGTTTTGTAACTTTGCCCAGCAGGGTAGTTCAGTAAATGAGACTCTTGCACCTGCTTGTAGCAACAGTACATAAGGGAGAAGACTGTTTCCTCCAAGGCATAAACACACTGTTGTCATAGTACTGAGCTATGTCAGAACTCCAGCCATTGCCGTAGTAAAACAGATGGGTTCTTATGATATAGTTGTATAAATGACCAAATCTTGATCTCATTGACTTCGGTGGCAAAACTCCCACTCATTCTGGTGAGGTCTGGAGATGGCCCATGCTGCGTTTCTTACTGTTTCAGTGCTGCTAACTGAAAGGAAACTGTCAACTAGTTTGAAGGCCAAACTTAAGTTTTTGCATTTTTTTTATTTTTTCATTTTTATTTTTACAAAATAAACAAATGCCCAATGATCAGGTAACTCAACTATTTGTATATGCGCAGCTGTGAGTTGGGTATGCATATCAATACAGCTGAGGCATTTTGTTCCCAAAAGTGCATGTGCAGTTTTTTTCATGCATACTTGAAAAAAATATGGGTCTTGTGTGCTAAGTTGAGTTTGCACAGAAGTAGTTAAAATATCTTTCTATGTACAAAATAATATGAACAAATCTGATCTGAAGGCACTGAGACACAGTAAACATGAAATCCTGTGATGCAGCATTGACCTCCTAGAACTACTGAAATTTTCCATTTGTCTTTGAGATCTTTGAAGTTGAAGTTCTGGGCCTATAGTAGACTGGAAAGTGATGTCATTGTCTAAACATAGGTTTTCAGCGTTGGGCATGCCTAACTAAGGGCTTTTCTACACTTTAAACACTACCGCAGCACAGCTGCAGCATTGCTCTAGCGCTTCAGTGCAGACACTACTGATGCCAACAGGAGGCATTTTGCGGTCGTTGTAGGTAATCCACCTCCCTGAGAAGCGGTAGCTATGACAACAGAAGAACTCTTCTATCAATGTAGTGCTGTCTACATCGGGGTTAGGCTGGTACAGCTATGTCTTTGGTGTGGATTTTTCAGAAAATCTCCTGAGAAACATAGCTATGCTGATGTAAGTTCCTAATGTTAGAGCAGTCCGTAGGCTAATATCAGAGTTGAGCACACATGGGTTTGATCCCCAATTAGTTCGGCTTGGTTATACCAAAAATGAATCCTGGTAAATGAATATGAGCCATCTCATCCTTACAGCTAATGATATATCACCATAGTATCCAGGCACCTCACAATCTTTACTTTATTTGTCTTCACAACTCTGTGAGGTAGAGCAGTGCTATTATCCCCATTTTACAGATGGAGAACTGAGGCACAGAGAGGCTAAATGACTTAACTAAGGCCATACAGAAAGAGAATTCAATGTCCTAAACACAGGACCATCTTCCTCTCCTTTCTGACACTCAATTCTGTTTCTGACCAACACTGACTTGCCTGACCTTGGACATGTCCCCATTTCTGTACCACAATTCACTATGTATAAAAAGGGTGTGTTGTTTATATACCTCCTATGGGTTTGGAGAGGCTTAATATTATGGCATTGTAACATCCTTAGATGGCATCGTTCTCTCTTCCTCACCAAAATCTCACCATTGGAATCCTCCTAGTCCCTTTCCCCACTGGATCTTTTCCCCTAAGCCTTGGCATTATAAAATTAAGAAAGGAGCTGATAGTCCTTTTCTATACAGCCCTCTTCCAGTAATCTAAAACTCGTAGCTATCTGAATGCAGTGTGTCCCCCAGGTAGTCCAATGTTAGTTAATAGCGCTTCTGTTTATCTGAACACCTAGTTATCCAAAAGTTTTGCATGTCCCAAAGGCTGTTGGGATAAACAGGAGTATACTGTATTTCATTTAGTTCTGGTCACTGCACTATGAAAAAGATATTGATAAATTGGAGGGTGTTAGGAAAAGAACAACTACAATGACTGGGGGTCTAACAGGATTGAGTTGTGAGGATGAGTCTGTTTAAAAGAGCTTAAATAGAGCTTGGTTAAATTTCAGGGTTGAGAGGGACACGTAGCTATACATAGTCAAATGGTGTAAATGCCCAGTGGAGCAGAAGATTGTTTGATATACAGAGATATTACTCGAACTAATAACATGAAATTAGGAAAAAAATTGTCTTGAAAACCTCCCTGACGGTGACCTGTGCTTGGCTGTGGAATAGGATCCTAAGGCAACGTTCCCCAATTTTTACTAAGGCGACCCACCCAACTGCATTTTTTTTTTTAAACCCACACAGTGTCCAAACTCGGCGGGGAGAAGGGAAGAGGGAATCATAGGTCAGTGTCGTCCTCTGCCAACTCCTCCTTGCGCCACTTATGGGGCATTGACCACCTGCAGCAGCACCTCTGCCTTGGCACCACAACCTAATCCTGACCTAGTGCGGAGGGAAGGGATGTTTGGAGAGTGATCCCACCCACCCTCAGTGGCAGCTCCTGTCCCAAGGGATTGTGCCTAGCTCTCTGCTCCAGGCGTTGTGATCTGGTACATAGAGTCACCACACCACTCAGGTTTGGCCTGGCCTCTGTCATGATGGAGGGGTGGCTGGGCCAAATTTGGGTGAGTGGTATTGCGATCTGGCAGACGGTGTCCCAGTGCTACTCTGGTTTGGCCTGGCCACTCGTGCTATGAGATCCTGTGTGCCTGGTTGTAATGCCTGGAGCAGGGATCTGTCCCAGACCTGTGGGGACAGGAGCTACTGCTGTGGGATGAATGGGTGGGTGGGCTTACTCTCCACCTCCAACCTCACACCTTCCCAGGTCTCCCCTCCATCCTAGGTCTGCAACCCATTTAGAACCTTCCTGGGACCTGTGGTTTGGGAAATACTGTCCTAAGATGAAAATTGAAATCCTGTCCCTTGGGACTTTTAAAAGTATTCTGGACAAAATACTAGTAAATGGATTGTAGGGAACTATTTTGGATTAGCAGGGAAATGGACTGGTTGGATTATGTGCTTAGGTCTTTCTCGTCTAATTTTTATGGTTCTTCAGTATAATAAGGCCACTTACTGTACTGCAACCATGTTGTTCACTGGTGTGTTCAGTTTTCTGTTTTCAAACTTTTCCAGCATTGAGGAGAAAAAGAATGTGTCTGTGCAGAAGGGACGGGGTGGGTGTTGGGGGGGTAAACTTTGCCCATCTTCCTCCTTATGAGCAAAAATTGACAGAGGCTAATTATTAAACATGAATACAGGTTAAACAAAGTTTGTTCCAGAGAAGCTGCTAAACACTGAAAAGATCACTTTGTAAAACCCTCAACCCACACGTCCTAAAATAAGACATTGTCCACTTATACAGCCAAAAATGTAGATCTGTTTGACCTTTAGGGGGTTGACATACAGTTGCAAAGAAACACTGGTTAAGAAATTACATCTGTTTGTTTACTTCTGCCAGCGAATTGAGACAATTTGAATGCCAGCTGTATGCACAGCGATGTTTTGTGGTTTTTAAAACGGGTGAATGGAGCGGAATGCTTTCTTCCTCCTTTCCCTCCCCCCTCCCTTCCCCCACAGGACAGTCCTAACATAATCTACATACAAACCTATTCCAGCATAAAACATCCACTGAAGGACAAATATACATGGAATTGAATTTTACACGTGCACACAGTACTTGAAGTTATCTTTGAAAGTCCTCATAAAAGAAATCTGTACTACGAAGGAGTTTGAGCATGGTGAAGAAGGTTGCTTGGCAAGCAAAGAAAGGCCTGAGGGCAGTACTGAGGAAGATAAGTGGAGAAAATAAAAGATGTGGTTAGGCTAGAGACTTGGGAGAAGTTTATAGGCAGAGAGAGAAAGATATACTAGGAGGAGATACTGAGCAAGAGATGTTAACATGAGCGAATGAGGAGTTTGAATCTTGATGCAAAAGATTTAAGTAAGTACGTAAGTGAGTGGAGGGATATGAAGAAAAGAAGTGAATTATTACCTTGTGCCTATGGTTTGGAGAACCACATCTTGTCATTGGCTTTCTTATAACTCACCTGTTACATACTTCTCTCAGATTAAAAAAAAAAAAAAAATGCAATCCCCCCCAATAACCACTAGTGCTTTTGGTGGTAAGAATTTGGTGGCCTAGTATTTAAATGTTTCAATGTGGGCTGCGCTTGCTTATGAGGATAGAGTTGGGATCTCTGTGAGCATGTTCTGCAGCAGTGTGTGTCTGGTTCAATTCAAGAAATATTCATGATATCTATGTAAGAATTTTCTGTTTTATTAGAAAGATTCCTTCCTACAAGAATTTTAGGATTCTCTAAATAGATAAAGTGGAGGTTGTCAATGACTTGATATGTCAGGTCTCTCTCTCTTGTGGTGGGTTTTTTTCTGTGCAAAAGGCTTCCGTGTAGCTCAATTTAACATTTTTTGACCAAAACTGCTTTTCAGTGGGAAATTGGATTTTCAATAAAACTAAATTTTCCACTGAATGTGTATACTTTCCACAGAAAACTTCAACTTTTTTAAATAAAAAGTTGGTTCTTCAAAAAAAAAAAATTTTTTTTTCATTTGTGTTGAAATTTTTCATAAGGGTAGAAACAGTAACATTTTCTGACCAGCTCTACTTTTGTGATTTCCCATTTGGAATGTCCACTTCTAGTTCTATGTTTCTTTTTGGAGTAATTTTATGTTCTTTATTTACTTTTTATCAGGGTCTTTTAAAGTAACTGCTGCGTCTGTGTCCGGCATTTCAGTCTTGTACAAACATACATCTATAGAAAACATGTACTATTTGCTGCATAGCAGAGGGTGTCAATGATTTTAAAAAGATGATTTGTTTTGTTTTTGATTTCAGAACTGGCAAATTTGTGTGGAAGATGAAGTTTATTCCTTCTTGAGACTGTCATCCTAAATAGTAAATGGTAAAAGAATGTGGGATAATCCAAGTCTCCGATGTCTCCTAGCAATAACTTTCTTACATTTGCTGAGCTTAATATATAGTCAGGAGACAGGTAAGTGTAGTTTGATACTGTTTGCTAGATTGCTTGCACTTAGGATATGTGTCTACTCTATAAACGTGCTGCATTTATTATGTACTTAGGGTCAAATAATGTTGCCCCTGTAGGCATGAATGATCTTAAGAGTAGAAATGCTGGATCTAATGCTCCAATTTCCTGCATCTTGTGTAGCCTCTAACACCAGTGCAAAGTTGGGTGCTCCTACCCCACAATGGTGGCAATTTAAATTCACTGGTGTAAATGACTCCACAGTGTGCTGGGCAACAGAGACTTAGGCCCACTGCTGTTCTGCTGTGTGTAGAGCCTGCACACGGAGGTTTCGCAGCTCCACACATCATAGAGCAGTGTTGTCTAGGCTGGATTGTAGAGGAGAGTATTGTAAGTTGACCAGTGGAGTTTGGAGGTTTGGACACTGGATATATGCAAGATGCAACTCCATGGGCCCAAACCCTGCACATGTGGGAGGGATCCATTGTAGAAGACTGCAGCTACTGTAATAGGCTGTAATAGAATCCCTGGCCCAGCTGTTTAATTATTCTACATTCAGCTTTAATGTAGTAAAGAGGATTCTGCTGCGCCCTTTTCCTCCCAAGTTTTCCTGCACAAAACTTGTGTAAGTACGTTTGACGTATTTGGATTACTGAAAACTCAAGAAGCCCAACAAGTTCAGTTCACCAGAACTGCAGCAGCTGAATTGTCCTTGTCAAAGCTGAATAGGCTGCACTGCACATATCACAAGAAAGTTGGGGTTTTAAAACTTGATTTCAAAGCAAGCATATTTGTTATACACAACTTTTGTAGGGGTTCTCAAGCAGAATTCACTTGTCAAATCAAAATGCTCAGGGAGAACCACTTAGGACCTGATCCTGCAAGATGCTGAACAATCTCCTCTCTCATTGACAGCCCTCAGGCATGGAGGGAAATTGATATTACTCAGCACCTCTTAGGATTTTGTCCTTTTGTGGTACAATAGGAATTTAGTTGACCCAGGTGCTAAACTAAACAAAAACAAACTCCTCACCTTTGTGTGTGAAAAGGAGTACTAACAGGTTTATGTCTCTGCGTGCAGGAATCTTCTGTGTACCTCCCTTCATGGAGGCCCTGGTGTGGACCCAACCAGGGGGAGTCTGCTCATAACACGGGGCCAGATTCTGATACCCTTATTCCTTTAGTGTAATACCATTGACTCTAATATACAGAACCAGTCAGTGGCCACGATTTTCAAAACACAAGTCACCTCAGTTTTTGGGCGCCCAACTTGAGACACCTTAGAGGAGCCTCATTTTTCAGAAAATGTTGAGAACCCACCCTCCAAAGATGAGTACTTTTTAAGGTGTTTCAGATAGTGCACCCAAAATCATTGGTCACGTTTGAAAATCTTGGCCTGCAACTATGTAATGGAAGTTTTAAAGTATTGTAAATGAGCGTGAGGTAATCTGTAAAATGTGTGTATCTGATGGAGCATCAGTCTGAGAGCATTAAATTGTTACACTGTAAGTATGTAGATGTTGCTATTTCAGGTTTTCCAGAAGCACCAGAGAATTTGAAATGTATCACACATGACTTAAACAGAATGATCTGTTCCTGGGATGCCACCTCCAGTGCAAACCTTGGACTGACTTACAAGATTTGTTATACAAACAGGTAATTGTTTCTTCTTATCAAATTATGCATGTATCATTGTTCTTCAATCCATATTCATGAAATTTGTAACTTCCTGTGTTTCTCAGAGCATATCTGTTCACCAGTCAGTTACATCTAGATGGTATCTTCTGCTCTGAATGTTTTCAGTTCTAAATTGGGCAATTGTAAGTCTCCCAGCAAAGGATGCCAAAGATTCTCTTGCCAGAACACCCTGCTACCCCCTCACATTGGGCTGGGAGTTCTCACACTTCTACTTCTGAATTCTCAGTGTCTATATGGCCCTTGTTTTCAGTTCTCAAAAGGTATCTTCATAGTTTGGTTCAGTCCAAAAGGAAATGGCTGAAATGTGTTCTGTGCTGAAATACCAGGGACCTTAAGATTCAGACATGAAAATGCCTTTAGGAAACTTAGATTACATCTAAGTAAAATCCCTTAATGGCTGTATTTTTTTTTTACCAGTTTAAATATTAAATCCTTTTGAAGATAAATGCTTTTGGAGTAGAAAACAAAATTGAAATAGCCTATTTGAAATGGAGTATAGTTTAGATTTTTAAGGTACACTAAAAAAGTTTAATATTTTCAGACACATCTCTAAAACTTTCGTGCATTCCATGTGTAACTCACCAGGATGAAAATCTGCCAATTTTTTGTGTCATGCACTAGGCATGAGGTTCTAAGTCTTTTCTGGATCCTGACTTCTTCCTCAGTTCTGATATTTGTGCTATGCCTCTCTTCCTGTGAATAGTGAAGACAGCTCAGACTTGTTCATCCAGCTCCAGGGCTTGGCTGCACCCCTTCCCCACCTCACACACCAGGTTCTCTGCCTCCAGTGCTGCAGAGAGAGTGGCAATTTAGTGTGCCTGCATTTTCAATTGTCATCCCTGTTTGTAAAGAGTACGTGCATGTATCAGCAGTGAACTGAAACCCCTCACCACCATCTTGTTTGGAGGAGTAAATTTTCTGGGGCTCTGCATCCTGAACAAGATCACCCAGTGAGCTGCTGCCTCTGTTTATTCCCCCCTCCCTTAGCATGGTGGAGTAGGCAAGTGGCACAGAAAGTAATAAGGTGAGGAGACATTCTTGGGCGCCACTGAGAGGGAGCTCAGCCACAGCTAATTCCATCCACCAGACCTTCACCTGATGCTTTCCACATACTCTCAGTGGCCAAGATCCCTTTGGAAATGTCTCTGCACAGGGGGAGGGTTAGTCCTTTTCAGCACTTGAGACTCAATAGGGTGTATTAGCCTTATCAGTCAGGGAATGTGGGGGTAAGTCCCAAAACCTCCCCAAGTCCTCTTATTCAAACCACTTCAAAAGGGGAAAGCTCCAGGGTCCCATTTAGTGAGTAATGGTTAATTGGCAGGAAGTTGGGCATTGTTATGACTTTTTCCTTTTCTCCCTCCCAGCCCTGAGAGGAAGATCTGGGCACTTTCCAAGCTCTTTCTCCTCTCCAATTACATATGAAATGATAAGGAGAGTGAGGATTCAAGCCACATCCTATCTATCCATCGAATCTATCATTAATTATGTGTAAGGCTAAGATTTTATCACGGTTATTTTTAGTAAAAGTCACGGACAGGTCACGGGCAATACACAAAAATTCACGGAGCCCATGACTTATCCGTGACTTTACTAAAAATAACTGGGGGGCAGGGCTAGGCATGGGGGGAGGAATGGAGTCCCATGGCAAGGGGGTGGGGGGCTGACAGGCCAAAGCCCCTGCCATGACGGGGGACACAGCCCCAGCTTCAGCAGCCGCAGCGGGGTGGGGGGGCACATGGCCCTGGGAAGCCACAAGTGAGGCACAGGGCCCCCGCCTCAGCCGCCGGGCAGGGGAGCGTGGCCTTAGCTGCAGCCCCCGGCAAAAGCCACTGGGTTGGGGTGCATGGCCTCAGCACAGCCCCTGCCAAGCTCAGGACGCTGTGGGGTTGGGGCACGTGGCCCTGGCTGCAGCTCCCACCAAGGTCAGGATGCCACGGGGCTGCAGCTCCCGGCGGAAGCTGCAGGGTCAGGGCTGCAGGATCCTGGTTCCAGCCAGCTCCAGTTGCAGGGCAGGGACGCATGCACAGTCCCACCTCCTGAAGCCCTGGAAGTCACAGAAGTCTGGTAAAGTCATGGAATCCATGATTGCCATGACCTCCATAGCCTTAATTATGTGCATTGCTGAGGAGTCCATCACAGACCAGGACCTCATTGTGCCGGGCATTCTATATATATATAGAATGCCCCTACATTCTTACTAACCCCCTTATTCCCCTGTAGGCTAAGCCCCAAAAGGAAGCACCAGCTCTGTCCCCTGATGGGGATGAACATCCTTTCCGCACCCACATCCCCCACCACAAAAAATTATAAGAAAAGCAAAAAATGCCAAAACACAAGGCAAATAAAAGCTATTTTGTGGTGTTTGGTAAAACACTGATTGGAGCCAAGTAAGGGGTTGGAATAGTGTTTTGAATAACATGTCACAATTTTTAACTTTCTTTCTTTTGCCTGGAATCCTCCCCACCCCCGGTATCCACATTTTGAACCTATCCAAACTGTGCATCTGTGTTAGACGACTAGCAACAAGTATGCCACTAGAAAGGACTTTCTTAAAACAACATGGGATGCTTAGCCAAATCTAAAATTGCCAAAGCTTATCCAAATCTTACTACTTCTGAAATTTGACTCTGATCTCTCACAGTTTTGTTCGGAGAATAAATTGGACCTTTAAAGGTTTGCAATGTTAAATTTAGTAGAGAGCCCTCTAATTTCCTAATATATGTAAAACTTGTCTAATTCTTCTTTATTATTGTTTCAGTGAACACTTCTCTCTAGTGTGTATTGAAACTGAGGGAAAAAGGGCAGATATTCCAGTCACAGTGGGCTCCACTAACATACGGATAACCACACTAAATGCTTCTGGAACTTCTTTAGCTACTGAAACATTTGTATTGTCTGAGGAAAATGTTTGTAAGTATCAAGTTCATGTATAATGGCTTTATATGAACACTTAACTATAACATTCTGGAAATGGATACGGTGATTTTATAGTTTTCTTTGGCAGCATTTCCCTGTATAAAGAGCTTCTCTTGTTGAGATGCAGAACACCCCCGTGCTCCACCATGCACAGGCACTTTTGCTAAATGCATATTTTGGTAGCCAAGTATGGTATTTGATGCCATAATAGAAAACAACTTATTCCCTCAGGCTAATTTGTTTGGGGATGAGGTAGGAGAACTATATTTAAAAAAAAAAAGCAGTGGTAATTCTCACCTCCAAGATATTTCCTTGAACCAACACTACTTGAGCACCATTTATCCCCACTCTTTCACAATATTTTAGGGGAAATGATATCGTCCTTTGTCTCTCTCACTGCCGCTAGGACCAAAAAACAAAACAATCTGTAACAGGGTGGCCTGCCCCGTAAGGCCTGGGGCTGGTCAACTCTGTTTAATTAGCTCTGCCTTGCTGTACCTGTGCTAGGTGTAGCACTTAATAAGGGAGGAAGCCCAATAGTTAGGGTTGGCTATGGAGGGGAGTAGCTGAGTTGGTTTGTGGCCGGAGAGCAGAGCCACAGGACTGAAGCTAACTTCCTGATGTGGGACCCTGGAACAATGTGCTGTTTCTCTTGCACAGCGCTGGCTTCAGGGCTGTCTCCCTCCTTAATGGGTTTCATAGCAGTGTACAGAATGTAGATGTAATCTTGTCATCTACCCTAGAAATGTACCCACATTGGAACTGTCACGACTACTACAAATAACCATTTTTAGAAGAGGAACTGGGAAAAAACCTGCTAGTTTAGCGGTTCTCAAACTGTGGGTTGGGGCCCCAAAGTGGGTTGTGACCCGATGTTAATGGGGTCGCCAGGGCTGACTTAGACTGCTGGGGCCTGGGGCTGGGGCTGAAGCTGAAGCCCGAGCACCACCGCCCGGGCTGACGCCTGGGTGTTGGGACTCAGATTACAGGCCGCTGACTGGGATTGACAGAAAGCTGTGGGAAAAAAGTGAGTGTTAGAGCAGCTTGGAGGAGAACAGCTCTTGGCACCCTTAATATAGCAGGAGAAATGCTGCCTGCTGAGTCACCAACAAAACTTCAGAGGATCTGTGTTTTCTTGGGAAGTCACTCCTCATGTAGGGAACAAGTCCCAACCCAGCTTAATTAATGAGATCAAACCTCGCGTTTGTATGGCTGTAGGCCAGTTCAGAGCTGCAGCTATTAAACACCTGTAAGCGCTGTTGCTGGTAATGATTTTGAAATGTATGCTTTGTTCCTTGTTTCTTTTCAAGCACTTATTCCACTCACCCCCCAAATTCTTAATCTGAGTGCTGACTTTTCAACTTACACGTTATATCTGAAGTGGAACGATAGTGGCTCAGTCTTCCAATATGAATTAGATGCCAGCTGGCAGATTCAGATTCTGCGTAAGGAAACATTGGAGACAGTGGCACTAGTAAGTCCTCCTTTTTGCTTTTTTATGAAAATGCAATTCCCCTCTCTTCCCACCTCCCCACAACACACACACGTTTTGGAGGGTCACAAAAGCAGGAGAGTTCAGGAAAACATGGACACAGACCTTACGGACTCCTGCTATACATAGGTGTTATTCATTTATTTTTATTAGTGTTCGAGAACATCGTAGCACTAAAACAACTGAAAGTGATAGGGAGAAAGGCACGCTATGGATATTTCATTTACTTCACACGGAACTGGCAGCTTCAGCCATTTTTGTTCAGTTGTGCAGTGCCAGTGCCATTTAGAACCAAGTGAATTTTACTATTTCCCTTCCCTGTTATCATAAGAGTTGTGCAGGTATCTTATGCCCATTAATGGCTCCACCTTCCTCCTCCCCTGCCTGTTTGGTTCTGCAGCACTGCAAAGCCACCCACCTCCTGGAGCCGAGGCTGCATGGACAAGCCCTCTCCAACTCTAGGCCCAGGGATGATGTGCCAGTTAAATCCAAGGTGCATAACTTTGAGTATGTAAGCCTGCCAGGTCCGTACCAGTGAGATAGCATGGTGGGAAGTGCTGTTTAAGTACCTCGATAGGTTGTGGTTGCTCAGTGCTGATGGGATGGGTAGCTAGTAGAATGAGTTCAAGGTTCTTGTCACTGGAGATGACGACTGGGAGGGGAGATTTTCTCATTTTATCAGAATAGCCACTGAACTCCAGATTTTGGATTCAACTCAGCAGGCTCAAAAGCAGGCAGTTCAGGTTCCATCCCAAACCGTTTGTCCAATCATACTGTTGATTTAAAGGATTAATCTTTTCTTCCTAACATCTTTAGGATGACCTACATTACTCCGCAACCCAGAGCATGGCTTCACAGTCTATTTTAAATGATAAATGTAAAATTTTCTATAAACAAGCCAAAGCGAAATACATGACATGACATGCTGTAATGTTTTCATCTCATAAACTTGCATAAACTTAAATTCTGCTTAGTTCAATTTTACATTTTAAAAATATTTTATATAAAATGTGGTAGGATCATAACAATGACAATTGCAGTCTTTGAGTTTTTAGAAAGTGCCCATAAGAAATTAGTTCATCATCGTTATGGGAAAGAGTTACTTTAAAAAAGAAAAATATAATCTCCAGTGGATGTTATTTTCCCAGTGGATCTTATTTTTTGTGGGTCTTTGCTGTAGAGGTACATTTTCTTTATGAAATTGGTCTTTCATTGTTTTCTGTTCCTGATTGGTGACTTCCTTAAGAGTGCTATTAAATAGTCAAGTTTTAGTGCTCCTTTTGTTGTCTCCAAAAAGGAGATTTCAGATCAAGTGAAAACCCCTGTACTTTCCTTTCAGAGTAATAAAAAGCTTTCTTCATCAGTGCTATTTCCTAGGTTCCTCAAAACTGTATTAAATATATTGTATTGTATTTTGTGAAAGATTTCTATTTTTCAAATGGCTGATTACTTTTATTGGCAACTAATGCAGTACTCTGTAAATATAGTGCGTATTATAAAGGTATTGTATAATGTCATAAACTAAACAAACATTTGGAGGATGGTAGTTCTTCAAATTTTTGTCAACACATGTGACTTTGTTCTGTAAGTTTAATAATTGAGAAAATATGTGCACTAGGGTAGGTAGATGATCGTTGCAATTACAGATAAGAAAAGGCACATCACATCACCAGGTCCATCCCCTGTCAGGTACCTTCCTGGCCTTTGTATCTAGATGCTATAACTGTTAAAACATTGGTACAATATTTAGTTTGGGCTAATGCATAAGGGCCTCTTGCGGCAAACTCTTGCTCACATGAGTAGTCCTCCTACAGGGAGTCCCATTGCTCTTAACAGTGCTGTATGCATGAGTAGTAAGTATTTGCAGTAGCTGGTCCTATATTTTGATTCTTTAGATGTAATTAATAGGAGTCAAATGCTTGTCTGTATTCTCCTCTTGTGTGTCAGTGTAGATTGCAAGCATGGACTTACTCAGATCATGAGTTGCTCTTTTAAGACAGCCAAACCAATTTAATTAACATAGTGATCTGATTTTAAATTTCTTTTATATTATTATTTTCAGAGAATCCAGAAGTGTGGTAGGTGCTTCACATCTCAGATAAGATGACGTGGAGTGAAATCCTGGCTGCTATTGAAGTCAGTGGGAGTTTTGCCATTGCCTTCAGTTGGACCAGGATTCACCTAGAGAGCTCACAACCTAATTCCAAATATTATACAGTGAAGGGAGTGACACAACTAAAGGGAGAGGGCTGAGGAGGACAATGATAAGGGGATGACATCAGTATAATTTTATATTTGCTCAGGGAAGACATGAAGTCTTTAAATCATGATTTGAGGACTTCGGTAACTCAGCCAGAGGTTATACATCTGTTACAGGAGTAGGTGGGTAAGGTTCTATGGCCTGCGATGTACAAAAGGTCAGACTAGATGATCACAATGGTCCCTTCTGACCGTAAAGTCTGTGAGTCTGTGAGACAGTAAAGCAGGTATTTTATTCTAACAAATAAAGATTAACACCAACTTTCTTGTGGTTTTTCATACAAGGACTCTTTACTATCAGTGATTTCAAATGCGTCTTTGTTTCAGTATTAGAAGGCAAGTGAGCTGGGGGTACTGTGAGGGTGAAGGAATTACAGCCAATTCAAGGCTTTAGAAAAGGTAATTAAGTAATAATATATTGATCACCGATTTACATTTCATCCATCAGTGAAGTTGCATAAAGTTAGAAAAACTCAAGTCAGTTTGTTGAAATAGGAAGACCACAGCAAACTTAATGCAATATTGCAAATTTAAACAGTGCCAATTTCCTCTAAAAGAAAACAATGCTGAATAACAACACTTCCTGTATTACTTTTGTGTCCACTGTGCTACAGGCTCTATGAAGGCAGAGTAGACACCCACAAAACAGAAACATTTTGTTCTAGAATGAATATCTAAAAAATGTACAGAGCTAAAATGTTTGTGATGAAGCTTTTTATATCTGAATACTCTAGGTAACAGTTTTTAACATTTACAGAGCACCTTGCAGTGTGTGTGTGTATTTACCCATCATTGAAATGTAGTCACTGCTTGGTTGGAACATAGCAGTTGTTAATTGTGCACAGCAAAACCACCCAACAATTTAGGACGGGAAATAAAGGATATCTTACAGAGTTGAATGGATGCAGGGGTTGAATTAATTGCCTAAGCTGCAACTGGACCAGGAACAGTAAATTTAAGTTGTTTTCTAGTAGTAAACTGCATGTTTTTAAAATGCATTCATTTAAATCTTCAGACTAAATCCTATGCCATAATTAATGAACTTTTAAAATGTCCTTATGTTGTACAGAGATATTGTTATATGTAAAATTTAATTACGTTTTCAACACAATTAATAGTGTAGTTTGTCAGTATTTAGAAGCCCAAATGAGAAGAATTTAGTTGACTTCTGTAATTAGCTATTAACTTAGCACCATTCTATCAAGATCCGGGTTTAATATGTTTCCTGTGATGTCAACATGTTTTCCAGTCTTGGGGTAGGGTAGGGCCTTGGTAAAGAGGCCAGGCTTGGATGGCTGCTTTCTACTCATGCTTTTTTTTTTTTTTTTTTTTTTTTTTTTTTTTAAATCACGTTTGAAAACAGTTTCTAGTAGAGTTGGCTGATCAATGCAGACTGGTCAAAATTGTGGCCAGCATTGGAATACAACTTTACAATACAATAAACTGCATTGAAAGACTATCTCTGCTTACCTGTTAGTTCTCTCTACAAATCTTAGGTGATTAACTAATACGACTGGTTGAAAATTTTCTGTTAAAACTGCTTTTCAATGGACAATTGGGGAGGAGTTGGGGTTAAATGAAGTGTTTCATCAAGCGTCTGCTTCCTATGAAAGACTTCAACTTTTCATTAAATAAGCACTTGAAAACCAAAGTGGTTTTGGTTTTGGCCAAAACCTGAAAACGTTGTATTCAGAAATGCCATCACTGTGTCTCTTGACACTATTATCCTCTATGGGTTGGGTTCCCTAGTTGGACAGCATCTCCCATGAGGCACTGTGGCAGCATAGCACAAAGGGAGTCTTGGTACATGGGATGTTGGTACACTGGCACATAGAGGAGAATAGGGCATGAGGGACTATGCCAGCATTTCCTATTTGGCATTTTTCAATTGAAACTTTTGCCAAAAAAATTGAAATTTCCTTGGAAAACTTCAGCAAATATGATTTTTTTCATGGGGAAGGGGGGGTTGGGGGCAAAATTTTCACAGGTGGAAAAACCCATTTTCTACATAGTACTAACTTAGGTTGTAATGCCTGTAATGTCTATCTTTGAAAAAGCTTTATTTGTTTTTCTTTTTAGATGAATTATGATTCAAAATTGACTGGCAAAGACTCTATTCTTTCTTGGAATTGGACATCTGACATACCTTTGGAGTGTACTTCATACTATGTGAAAATTAGATGTTATATTAATGAGCCGTATTTTACTGGTAGGAAGGAATGGAGTGAATGGAGCCCAATTAGAACAGTTCCTGGTACGTTTATTTTCTTGCATGTTGCACAGAATTTAGCTACTTTTAAAACTGTGCTGAATTCAAAATAAACATTGAATGAATAATATTACCTTTTAATTCTGAGGATTGATAGACCATTGTAGATTTTGTGGGACTGTTTCAATTACCGGTAAATATGTAAAGATTTGTAAAGTGCAGTAACAAATGTTTTGAGTGAAACTTGTTAAAAATAGATTTCTGTACATTTTACAAGAGGGGTTTTATGCAAAACAGAATAGCCTGAGTGCTCCTACTCTGTATTAGCACTGACCAGCTGAATATATAAGAAAGTAATCTTACTTTACTGAGCTATAAAAATCATTTGATCATGTATTATTTTTCTTCTGTCTAGAAAAAGATACTAAGCCCAATAGCGCTATGGTTTTTCCTCAAGACAAAGTGGTACTAGTGGGCTCAAATGTGACATTTTGTTGTTTATACAATGAAGGGGAAAGTATAAAATTCATGAACTATGGATCAAAAAGTTATCCACTCCTTCGCCTCAACAAGTGGAGCAGTGCAATCAAAGTGCAGAATGTCAGTGCTTCAATTTCTAGTGGGACAAATGTATGGTGCTTGCTGGAGCCAGATGGTCTGGAAGGAACAGTATTATTTGTAGGATGTAAGTATACCGTACTGTTACTGAAATGAGGTTCACTATGGTTTATTCACCTTGAGAAAATCAAAATATAAGAAGGAAACTAAATGATGTTATGACTCCAGCCCTCTTGCTTTAAAACAGTGGTTTAGTTTGGCCTATCTGGTTTCCAAGGATAGGTTACATTTGGGGGGGGGGGGGGGGTGAGGGTGTGTTTGGTTTTTATCGTAATGACCCAATTAACTCTCCCCCAATGCTCAGGTGCCATAGTGATAAGGATGCAGTGTAAACAGAATAGAAATAGATAATCTCCAGTAGAACCTGGCAGCTCAATGCCATCATGTCACTGCTATTCGTGATCATGGGGGAGGGCAACAGGTGATGCCCCAGATCTATCAAAGTTGTGATGAGCGTATGTGTGGTTGGGGGAGAGATAAGGAGGAGAGATAAAGAGCTGCTGATAGCACCCTTGCCCACCTGAGGGTAGAGAGATAAGAGTGGAATACAGAAAGCCCCTCACTGTCCAGGAGAGGGGGATAAGTGTCTCCATCCTCAACATCCCACTAGCCAAGTGAGTAAACCAAAATATCAATTTTATATCCATTTTGATGATCTCTAATCACTGAAGAGGGGCAGGGACAGGCATGTGAAAGAAGAGGACCCTCTCCTGATTTTTGGTCTGTCAAGAGGTGGTGACGGTTTGCTCACAAATAAGTCATTACCACTCTTATTTTATTGGCTTCTGCCCATCGTATATGTACAGTTCCCTGCCTAAGTGTGAAATGTTAGCAGTGAAAACTCTGACACCTAGCAGAATGTTTTTGTGACTGTCAATAGCTCTGTCTTCTGCCTGTTGCATTTCCAGAGTCACCGTTTATGTGGCCCAGAACACTTGGCAGCCGATTTGCTTGAAGATTAGCCATTGTTTCACCAGTTACACTTACGCCTGTTCCTTTTGCAAAGCCCTAGAATTTCTTATTTGATTCCGAAAAGGCAAATAGTGGGGCATGTCATGTACTGGGTAATGTAAGTGTTAAACCTTACATTACCAGCATTTCTATCTGAATCTCATTTGATGTTAAACTACCAAAAATACACATTGATGTGTTCAAAGTGGCAGGTTGGATGTTGAACTTTCCTATCCGGTGCAGTAGCTTTTGGGTGCCTTGTTATGGTAAAAGAATCAAGTTTTAAAATTATTAGTTTCTCATGGAAAATATTATCTTTTGAAAAATGAATGGGAAAACTTTAAACTGTTTAAGATACCAAATCATTAGCTGCTTGTGTAGGGTCACAAGCCTCAAAAACCTCCTCAAACATAATTACATCTTAAAACAAAATACTGCAAATGTTCAGTTCCTCTTTCCCACAACAATTTCAGAGTTCTGTGCTTTCCCTACACTGGCAGAGGGCATCACTAACACCTCCAACAACACAGTGCAGCTCCTTGCCAGTTTTAGGTGTATATTACATCACTGGCAGTGGGGAAATAAACACCACCTTAAACTTGGAGACTAGCAAGTAAGCAGAAAAGCAATCAGTTGTTCAAATGGCTGATTTTAAAGGTGTGTGTTTAGTACTTCAGTCTGCACATGCTGTTACTGATTTTGAATCTTAAACAGATGATTAAAAAAAAAACCCCAAAAGAAACCCCCCCCCCCTTTTTTGGCATTCCTCTAATATACTGTCCAGTCATATGGAACTTTTAAGATGGATAACTATACATATAAATATAAGTCAGGGATGCACAAAATATTGGCCGTGGGTCAGTGACAGTGCAGCACACAAAGGGTTTACAGATGTGTCCATCCTTGAAGGTCTAGTGTGTTCAAGCTACTTCCTCTCTAGCGTTTTACAAACTCCTGTCTCTCTGCTGCATACTCCATGAGGGGAGTGGAGACATCTTGTTTGGATGCACCAGTCCAGCAAGACTGAGATGTAGGGGAAAGTGAAAAGATAAGAAGCCAGATAGAAAGTAGGGGAGAGAGACAGTGCACCATCTCTATATCAGGGTGTTTATATGTGCTTTAGAGATGTCAGTTTGAGTACCTGTGGCTCTGGTGCGCTAAGTGCTCTTCCCCTGGCACATTAGACCTATAGTCATTGTGTACGTTTACATCACTCATAATCCTAACTGAGACATCCTTACCACTCACGCCAAACTAACACGGTGTGAAGCTCATGCCCCTCCCCCCACTCCCCCCGGGGTGGCCAGAAAGAGACTGGTCTCTTGGTTTCTGGGAGGAAAGATGCACACAAGCAGCTGGAGAGAGGAGCTCCCTAGAGGCTCATCCCCATCACAGTTACTCAGCTCTATCTTTTCTGGTTTCTAGGGGGAGTATGGCATGTCATTCTGCAGTGAGTCCTCTAGCGAGAGAGCTGCCATCATTCCTATGCCAGGGATTATGATCATTGCAGTCCTGGGGTCTAGAGTTGAGGGACAAACTTAAATGAAAATTGGGGAAGGAGACTTGTAAAGCATCTTGGAGGAGGATGACATGTGTGGTCTTCTTAAAAAAATCGAAAACTTTACAAATAAAATACAATGTGGCAGGTGTACTAAGAATTTCATGTTTCATAGAGTGCATGTGGGTTCACTTGTTTGAATGATTTGTTTAAATGGATTCTAAGCAACAGTGAGGCCTGCACTTGCCAAAACATGGCACGCAACCTAATAACCTTCCTACGTTGCTTGGAGGCAAAATTGTGCAGTTTGGGATCTTTGAAACATGTTTTGTAAAATTGTGTAATGCTTATAGTTCAGTGCCCTGATCCTGCAAACACTTATACATGTGGTTACCTTTAAATACAGGAGTAATCCCATTAAGTCAAGCCTTAGACAATGGGGACTGTTAATGTGCTTAAAATTAAGCACGCACATAATTGTTTGCAGGTTTGGGGCATAATTGTTACTGTATATTTATGCTATATATTCTGGAAACAAAATATTGCTTTCAGCAGTTAATAGATTTCCAAGCAATTGTCTAACCTTCTATGTTAGGACCTATTCTGTGAACATGCAGGCTGATTGTTTTGTCTTACTTCTTTGTTACAGATGCCCCCGATACGCCACAAAACCTGAACTGTGAAACACGCACCTTTATTACTATAACATGTAGCTGGAACCCAGGCAGAGCCACGGCACTATACAGGCAACGGCAAACAAAATATATTTTATTTGAAAGGTAAAGCCATTTAGCAAGGAAGGATTAAAAAGTTAGAATACAAATTGGTACATTATGGGCTTCCCAGGATACTGAATGACTGCTGCATGCCCACTCAAGTCATTTAAACTTTCCACTGCTTAGAGCTTAAAATAAATATAAAAATACACAGGAAGTTGGGACTATCTTTTAATTACTTCATCACAGAATCACATGATTGCAATGTAGTGCTGCAGTAGTACTGTGATAGTATAGTCAGGGTTGGGGGACACATTTCTTTATAAGACATTTGATGGTGATAGTTATTTATTACTTATATTATGGCAGCACCTTGAGTTCAGGGCTCCATTGGGGTAGGCACTGTACAAACATGACAAAAAGAAGATCCTTGTCCTGAAGAGCTTACAATCGAAGTGTAAGACTATGGACAACAGGTGGATAAGACCAACCAATGCGGGTGCAGAAGAAAACAATGAGGTTGGACTGGTCAACGCAAAAACCAGTGGTCAGAGCTGCCTAACATTTGTTGGGGGCTCTCGAGCCAAGCTTTCTCATCCTTGTTCTGAGTGCGCAGTGGGCTATTGCAGCCCCAAATACATGGAGCTACCCCTAAAAACCACTCAGACTTCTGCTAGTGTAGATGAGGATGGCTGGTTGCTTACAGAGACCATATTACACTTATGCTCTCTGTTCGGCACTGGCTTTCAGTTTGTTTTCAGATGCAATTCAAGATTTTGGCTTTATCATATAAAAACCTAAATAATGCGGGTGTTGGCTATCTGATGGACAGCTTCTCTCCTTGTGTGGCCCACAGGCACCTGAGATCAGATGAGGTACACAAAGTGCCTGACCCTATTTAGATGGGGAGGGGGCTGGTGATCGGTCATCTTAAGTGCAAAGACCTTAACACTAGAACCTACTCCCTCTGCTGGGTCAACTAGTTCCTGATTCTAGAAAGCACTTAAGCAATACTTAAATCCCATTCAAGATAGGCATGTGCTTAACTGCTGTCCTGAATATGGATACTTTCCTGAATCAGGGCTCTAAAGCCTAGTTTTGACCTCAGGGCTCACTACAGGATCTGTCTATTTTCCCAGGCTTCTGAGGAGGTAAGGGAAGTAAAAATTAAAGTAAGGATGAAGTAGGTTGTGCTGGGGAGAAGGAAAGATATTCTCTTTGAGCTGGGAGCCATGGATTTTGTGACTAATGCCAATCAAGCTACATTGTGGCATTAAATTGTGTGTAATATGCAATGCAGCATGAGGTAGGTGTGAGGGGTTCGGTCACAGAGACCCTCTTGGGACTGTCATCTGACATGCTGGAATTATCTCTGAGCCCATTTTCCCTGCTAGCTTGGGACTCCAGAATCCTGTCTTGTGGAGCCAGACACGCTGGCCTGCTACAGCACAGACCCAGGTCTGGTCCACGCCCCCAAAGCTGCAGACTTTAACCAAAACTGCTCAGCAGGTCACCTATCTCCAGCACCCAGACACCCAGCTCCCAATAGGATCCAAACCCCAAATACATCTGTTTTACTCTGTATAAAGCTTATACAGGGTAAACTCATAAATTGTCTGCCCTCTATAACACTGACAGACCGATATTCACAGCTGTTTGCTCCCCCAGGTATTAATCACTTACTCTGGGTTCATTAATAAACAAAAGTGATTTTATTAAGTATAAAAAGTAGGATTTAAGTGGTTTCAAGTAATAACAGACAGAATAAAGTAAGTTACCAAGCAAAATAAAGAAAAAAACACGCAAGTCTAAGCCTAATACATTATGAAACCGATTACAGGTAAAATCTCACCCTTAAAGATGTTCCAATAAGCTTCTTTCACATACTAGACTCCTTCCTAGTCTGGGCCCAATCCTTTCCCCTGGTACAGTCCTTATTAGCAGACATCTTAGGTGGAAACTAGGGGTGTTCTCATGACTGGCAGCCCTTTGTTCTGTTCCATCCCCTTTTATAGCTGTGGCACAAGGTGGGAATCTTTTGTCTCTCTGGGTCCCTACCCCCCTTCTAAATGGAAAACACCAGGTTTAAGATGGATTCCAGTATCATGTGACATGGTCACATGTCCTGTGAGACCTCATTCTTCATTACCCACTGGCTGGCCTGCATGCACCCAGGAAGGTTTGCAAGTAAACAGACCTTTTATAATCAATTGTCCTAGTCAATGGGAGCCATCAAGCTTCCAAACCACCATTAATGGCCCACACTTTGCATAATTACAATAGGACTTCAGAGCTATACTTCATATTCCTAGTTTCAGATACAAGAATGATACATTCACACAAATAGGATGAACACACTCATAGATTATAAGCTTTGTAATGATACCTTACAAGAGACCTTTTGCATAAAGCATATTCCAATTACATTATAGACACACTCATAAGCATATTTCCATAAAACATTATGGAGTGCGATGTCACAGTAGGCAAATAATGATACTGCATTAACTAAATAATGGTATAGTGACATGCCATTCATTCCTTGTAGCATCTTCATCCGGTGAAGTCTGTACTAAGAAACTTCAATTCAGTGCTGTTAAATGGGTTGCTCAGAAATTTAAAATAATCTTTTTTTCAATTCACAGAATATCTAAAGAAAATGTTACATGCAAAGTAGATGAATTGAATAAGGAACATTACTGTGACTTTCCAGTGCATGCCAATCAGAAAATCTACAATTTCACACTAGGAGCTTCCAATCCTCTTGGTCAAGCAGAATCATCGCTCTTAATTGATGTAAATCAAAGAGGTGAGTATTAACAAGGGTGCAAAACCAAAAAGGGTTATCAAATAGAGGGTTAGTGCAATAGATGATAACTCATTGGGCACTAATATAGAATGTTGCATTTGTAATTGTTTTTGGTTTATTTTCTTCATTGGTTTGGATTCTCAGTAGTTGGGATTAAGTAAAGGTCCTTTTTTTCCCCTACTGTGTGTGCCGACAAGCGGGTAAGAATGTGGTGAGATGACAGTTCTGCACAGCAACCGTATAGCTGACACCCTTAGTCCCATGTTAGGAGAGGAATCTTATGCATGCACTAGTAACTAGCTAAATATCTATCATTTACATGGCACATAATATTCCAGTCAATTCTAATAACTAAATTTGCAACATATAATCCTGCAAAGTCTTATGCGTGGCCGTGGCGGCCTTAACTTTCTGCATTGAGAGTGACACGGTGACTTCAATGTGTCTGCTCATGGTGCATGATGTTAAACCCATGCATATGTCTTAACAGGATCAGGTCTTTACAAAGTAGCAATAAAATGTGGCACTGACCTTCTGTGCCTCCATAACACATGCGTGCATTTTGTGTCCTAACAACTTCAAGGTTCATCTTTTCCTCTTGAAAACTGTAATGGCAAATAATAAATAGAAAATTGCATTTAAATGTTTATTATAGAACTTGCATTTTTAATACATTTTTCCATGTACAGCAACTTTATAATTTGAATTGGTAATGCAGTTGCAAAATATCATGTAATGTTGAAATAGAATTGTCTCAACTACTTAGAATGTAGGGTTGTTGTACAGATGCTGTTCTTGCCATTTCCCCTCTGCCATTTCAGTTCTCTTCCTTCTGCATGCGATCTTTCTATCCATCATTGGTACTATTACTGTGCAGATGGTTCTCAAACACAGAGCGCATACATCCCTGCAACTGTCAGGTGACCAGAGTGCAGGGTTTGCATATACATTGTGTGCTTATTTCCCAAAAACATCAAGTCCAGTGGCTGAGAATCTTCTCAACAGGAGGCACAGAGGATCTGTGGCCAATATTCAGAGATAGAAGGAGGACAAAAGAGGTGAAGAAATGAAAGGAGCTGGGTGTTATGTAACATTGCCCTGCTACATTTTGTAGGATAGGAGTTTTATATTTTTGCCCCACTTTCCAATTAATTGTGGGTGTTTTGGGTTAATTTCCTGATTGATCAAATACTGATATGATCTCGTGAAACAGTCACTGTGATCTTTGAAAGTGTAGCTATTTTGTACTAAAATCAGTAGCAGTTAACAGGAATAAGGTTATGCTGTAATTTACTTTTAACTCCTTGGCCCATTATGCCAATTACAGCTTCCGACTAAAATAAAACTATTCCCATGAGTGTCAGCCAAATTTCCAGTATGGACAAAAGCTGCTTGCTGGTGTGCCTTCATAGCAAGAGACTAATATATATCGTTGGATTTTTAAAACAACACCCAGCTGTCACAATAATTACCAATCTGATGAATGTTCTGTTCTATTGATTATTTTTGACTACTTTAAAAGTAAGATTTTTCTTACAGAACTAAAAATAATAATAACGCTATTATTTATCACCTTCAAGAAATCCAAGTTGATTTTCTTTATAAATTTAATTTTCAGTTCATCTGGAAACTCCTGTTAAATTCACTGTGAGCACTAATAGTTCAACAAATGCCCATCTGTCTTGGTATATACCTGGCAACTTTATTCAAATCAGACTTTTGTGTCAAATTGAAATTAGCAACAGTAATTCAGAACGACAACTGGTGAGTATTATTTTTAATGTAATTTTGCTCTGCTGAAATGTCAATGGTTTTATTGAAATTCATTTCTTTACAATTTTGTACTAGTAAAAGAGAAACTGATAGGTTATACTGACTATTTATTGAATACTAACTGTGCTAAATGTCAAAAGTCTAGCTCCTAAGCTTACAGAGAAGCTCTAGTCACGTTTACTTCCAGTTCTTTTCACAGTGCAGTGGTAGGTCATAACAGGCAAAACTAAGTAGTGTTTTGAGAAGTTGCAAAGCATTAAAATTAGCCATAATATTTGAGTTCTATCATAAGTTTGCAAAGTTGCTTTTCTGAAGATGTTTCTTTATTAAATTGCCACTCTTAAGCGATAGACTATAGTGGTTGTGTCTTTGGGAAGTAGGTAGCACTCATGCACACATTATCACTACTCTTCTACTCTGAAAATTTCCTTTGAAGTTGTTTTAAGATTCCAGTCTTGCAGTTTCAAAGTCACTTTTACAGTTGGTGTAAGTGGAATCTTCTTACTTTCAATAATTGTTGTGTATGTGTTTGTCAACTGTTTCAGCAACTCACTACTGCAATCTGTGGATGATATAAAGACTGTGAGAGGGGAAGAATTTTCCCGTTGAGCAAGATGAGCTGAGTGTGTCAGTAGGATATCCCTACTGAAATCCTCTATATCTGTCATTTAGAGAAAACTAAAAGCACCTGTTAGATGTTCTTAAAATTTCAGCGAAAGTTGGAGGGGCGAGGTAGACTTCCTGGAACTTGATGCTGATTGGGATTCAGTGACCAAGCACACAGTACAGTTACCCTGAGTTCTGTCACTTTTTTTTTTTTTATGCAGCCAGCATAAAAGGTCCCTCTCAGGCTAGGTCTACACTAGAGTTGGGGGTGTGATTCTGAGCTCACATATACATACCTGTACAAGGCCTGCTCAAACTAGCCTGCTAAAAATAGCAGTGTAGCTGGGGTAGCACATGTGATGGCTCAGGCTTAGGGTGACCAGACAGCAAATGTGAAAAATTGGGACGGGGGTGGGGGGTAATAGGAGCCTATATAAGAAAAAGACCCAAAAATCAGGACATCTGGTCACCCTACTCAGGCTAGTTGTCCTGAGAACATTCCTGCTTGGACTCCCTGGAAGCTAGCCCGAGCCGCCACCCATGTTAGCCCCTGACACTGCTATTTTTAGCCCATTAACTCAAGCATCTCTATGCTAGCTGAGAATCACCCCCCTAGCTTCAAGTATAGGTGTAGCCTAATTTAACATTTTTACAGCCTCCAGAAAAACTCTTAAGGCCCCTTGCAAAGCTGCTCTGTTGTGCTGGCAGCACCGGACATTTTATTAATCTGCCCCTTTTTAAGGTTGTAGATTACCATCTCTTAAAGCTACCGTTACAAAAAAAAATCTACTGTAAGTGTGTAACACCTGAGAACTCAGAAAGTATTAGAGATAAAGAGCTTTTACCATATCCTGGAGCCTGATCCAAAGCCTGCTATAGTCACTTGAAAACACTTCTTTTGGCAATGTCTGTGTTTTTGTTTTTTAAATGAACTACACTGGGGAAGTCTCTGGGTTTAAATATAGCTTGGTGGGCTAGTGTTTCAAAGCTGTGTCGACCTGGTCTTTCTAAGCTGTAGGGTGACCATATAGCAAGTGTGAAAAATCAGAATGGAGGTGGGGGGGTAATAGGAGCCTATATAAGAAAAAGCCCCAAATATTGGGACTGTCCCTATAAAATCAGGACATCTGGTCACCCTACTAAGCTGTGCACTCCAAAATCTTGATTTGCATTCTGTGGTTTGAGAGATTTTGAGTCTTTTGTATTAAAATTATAAAATGTGCTAAAAAGTACTAGTAGGTTAAGTACCACAAGTAAAAACCATACAGGTTGCTTGAGGGTTTGAGGGGAGAGCGGAAAGAAATGACATTTAGACATGAATAAGTTTAGACCTTGGCGGCTGCTATTGAAATACAGGCTGAAACTTTACAAAATATGTAGCTTTGTTACCTTGTTCTCCAGACGCTAGAGCAGGGGTTCTCACAAGAAATGTTTTGGTGGCCTCAGAGTGTGGCCACCAACTCTTGCTGGTGGCTGCTCTGACATTTTTTTCCTAAAATACTTAATTAACTTTAGGAAAAACAAATATGCATATATACATGTCCAAATCATTGTAATGTACTTTTGTAGAGTTTTTTTGCAGACAAAATAATCGACAGTTGTCTCTATTCTTTACTGGACCTAAACAGAATAGAAACACAAATAAGGTGCTTTGCATGTTTTGCTTTTTTGGTGGTTTTTTTTAGACTTGCTAGTTAGTAAGTCTGCTTCTGTGAAAAGCGATATTTGTATATTTGTTAATATTACTTTTCGGAGCAGACTTACTCAGCAAGCTAGGGGACAAATTAAGCCCTGGATGGGGAGGTGGGTAGGGAGGCGGGGGTGTGTGCAGTGGCGATTGGGCGTCTGGATGGGGTGCTGGAGGAGGCAGTAGAGGCTAGGGCGATGGTGGGGGGTGAGCCTGGGGCCAGAGCATGAAACCCTGTGGCTCGGGGAAGGAGCCCACCTTCAGATGGATGAAGCCCCAGGAAGGTGGTGAACTCCCACAGATCACCTGCTCCTACAGTGTTTGTGGCTCCAGAAGGGGGCAGGGACCAGCCCCTGCTGGTGGGCCCAGGGGAGGTGCCGTTGCTTTGCCCCCCTCACCCCATCACTACCCAGGAGGCTGTGGCCGCACGAAAAGCCCCTGGTGACTGCATGCAGCCACAGTGGCCACATTTGAGAAATCCTGCGCTAGAGTATAAATGAACAGATGAACAGGGTATAGTGTAATCAAGGAATGGCTGTGAAATTGTTATCAATACTGCAAGATGTTTTGGTGACAGTGGCAGAAGCTTTTCCACCCATATGCTCAATTGCTGGCTTTTTGACATTTTCTATTTGTCATTTGGATTAGAAAAAAAATAACTAATTTCAGACTAAAATTCACTTTGGAGACCAGTTCTTGGCAGCCAGGATAGATGTGTATTTATAAGTAGATTCAGTAAGAAATGTTCCCAGGGTCAGGATTTCTCACAGCAGCCGTGGCACTGAGTCACTGTACACATTTGTAGTAGTATGCATATGTGTGTCACTATTATGCATTGTTTTAACTGCTTTAAACTCAATACTATGCAATTGACTGTTTATACTAAAACCTGATTATGATTATGTTTGCTTTCCTTCGAAGGAAAAAGGAGCACTTTGTAGGAATACTGTTACTGGTATATATTTTATTTGAATGATATGGATGTTGGTCCAGCGGTTTTTCTTGGGTGTGCTTTGTGCAGGCACTGTTTTACAAAGGAAGAATGCTATTTGTCTGGGCAGATTCTCAGACCATGCCCATCACTGTGAGCATAGGAGCACCCTGGGTGAAATCCTGGTCCCATTGAAATCAGTGGGGATTTTGCCATTGATTTCAGTGGAGCCAGGATTTAATACATATGTAGAAAGAGTGTTCAGCGATAATAGCTGTCATATATAGCCTCGTGGAACCGGCTCAAAAGAAAGGGGTGTTCAGATTATGGTCAGTGGACCACCAGTCCTTTCTGGTGGTTCAGAGAGTGCAATACTTTTGGGAATCAAATGGTAGAGCGTTGGGAAAGCAGAGAGTGTTGTTAGCATTGTGATTACTCTGCTTTGTGGTATAGGATTATTCCCATTATCACATGGGATACAGCATCTAATGTTGACAATTTAGTATATACCCACATCTGTTTTAAAGTAGTTATTGGTGTTTTAATTTCTATACTAGGTGTAACTTCTTATGATAGGCCCCTGAAAAAACTTTCACTGGTGAACAGTGATTTTATGTAAAATATTTTCCCTATATATTTTCTTTCATTTACATTTATTTCCCCATATATTCTGGTTTGAAAGCTTTTTAGCATACATCCCCATTGCCCCCGCTAAAAGAGACTACATCCCACTAGACTTTGTATAACAGATTCTTCCTAAATAATCGCACAGTTGTCTGATTGTACAACTTTAATACTGTAGTTGACTTTTTAAAAACATTTTCCAGGTAGTGGTACTAGCATGATACAGGATGGGGGAAAGGTTTTCATATAGAATTCTATTAATTCTTAACAACAGAATGTCTCAATGGCCGGTGCAGAAAACTCAAATTACAGAGCTTGGGTGGACGCATTACATCCGTATGCCACATACACGTTCAGAGTACGCTGTTCAGCTTCTGAGCATTTCTGGCGGTGGAGTAAATGGAGTGAGGAAAAAAAGCTCACAACTTTGGAAGCCCGTAAGTTTATTGAACTGTCTTTTATGTCAAAATACTTAACTTGTAAGCCATATGCTTAACAAAGTTACCTTATTTTGTAAAATCTCCTTTCTTAGCTCCTGCAAGAGGACCGGCTATCTGGAGAGAGAGAAGTCCTGTCGGAGAAACTCTAACAGTCTTTTGGAAGGTACGTACGTGTGTGTGTGGTCATTGCTTTTCTTATGTACTTTCAATGTGTGAAAAGTTTATAGCCAGTAAATCTAATTGTTGTTCTTAAATATTTTATAGTGCCCATACTCAGAAAATTAGTGTCCTAAACGAAAACATCATTATCCCAGAAATGTGGACTATGCTTTAAAAAAAAAACACATGTATTACTAAAAACAGCTGCATATGGAATTAAGTAGGATTTCACATACAGAATAACTTCCTTAAATTTGTCCCTTTGAGAGTTGTCTTCAGTGCTCATGTGTTAACTCCTAAAAACGTTCTTGCTTTACTGACTTTTTTGCCTGGTAACCCCAACTTTGAGTATTAAATGCATGTAATCCTGTGTCCTGATTTTTAACGATAGTTTTGTTTTTTAATGTGACTTGTGCTTGTTTTGTTGCATAGCCATTACTTCTTTCTGAAGCAAATGGAATAATACTATCCCATGAAGTGTCATGTTACTCGCGAGAGATAATGCTAAAGGCTCATGAAGTCCCTGTACCCTTGAACAGCACTGAAATAAAGCTTGGGGGAAATGATTGTTTAATCAGTGTTGTAGCCAAAAATCGTGCTGGCTCATCTCCCCCTTCTAGGATAACTAGTATGGATCTTCCAAGTGGTGAGTACTTGATTCAAGGATTTAAAACATTCAAAGCTTGTGGAACAGCTGGGTGGTTGTGTTTTTCAGAGAATTTAGCTGATCTGTGCAAGTAACAAGTGATTTTTTCAATCTGCAGTGTCTCACCAGCAAATTATACTCGTCATGTAGAAGGAAGGCGGCAGTTACAGGCTAGGTTGCTGTGTTGCAGTTTTCTGGAGTCTTCCCAGGAATAACAAGGGAGAGGTTAAATCTTTGGCACAAATCTTCAACTTTTAGGAAGTTTTATTTATTTCAGTGCCATCTTTTTGACTCAAATAAATCTGATTAAATGTAAGAGGATCAAAACAGGTTTTTCTTGCAGTGGAAGCTCCTCAGTGCTGCATAGTTGTTTAACATTTTTCCACTCTGTGGGACTCAAACATCAACTAAATGCATGTGTAGTTGATCACGTGAAGTGAGAATACTAATGGAGCTAACCAATATTGTGCCTGAATCATGATCTGGTGTCAAAAGCGGGGGCTTGAAGGTGTAAGTTAGGGTTATTGAGGCCTCTCATTGAAGATATCTAAAAATGCCCTCCGTGGTAGTGAACTAGCCTCCTATATGTGAAGGAAAAGCTTTGGGCTAAATTGGTTTTGGTGCAAATGCCGGGGAAAGGGCAGCACATAGCACAGGAGCAGACCACGGAAGTCATAACATGGTCCCAGTTCTCCCTTGCTCCAGGGGGAAAGGAATCTTTGCCAGCCCTATACCTGGTGCAGATTACTTCCCCATCCACTCCCATTCATCTGCATTGGCTGGCACATTGGGAAGACAGAGTGAAGGCACTGCTAGCTCTCACCCAACTGTGCTGGAGCGGGGATTAGCAGCTCTGCAGAAGCTGTGCTTCCTAGCCCCTCAGCCCTCTGCTGTGACCTGTTTTAAGGCACATAATGTGACCCATACACCCCATGTGGGCATGTAATAGACGTCACAGTTGTGCACTTTCTGTCTGAAGTTCTGAAAATAAAATTACATCTCTTTAGGCAGAAATGTGTTTTGTTTGAGATTTATAGTTGGGATGTCAGTAACCATGATCCCTCATTATCCAGAATGAGTTTTGTCCTCAGGCTAAATAGCCTTCAGCTCCTCTATAGCGATACTACCTATTAATTTATCACTGCATATGTGAAGGAAAAGGAATTGGGCAGGATAGATAAATTAATGGCATCACTTTAATAACTCCACATCATGAGCAACAACTGTAGCTGACTCTGCAGAATGTAGGGCTCTCTAGATAATTCAGCTCTGTAGCCTGTGACCGAGGGTGACGGCTGGAATTCTGTGATTATTATAACATAGTACTGGAAAGGTAACATTTGGAAGACTGAATTTCCCTTTGGTGTTACCCAACATATACTCATTCTGAATTGTCTTCCGAGTTGACATAGGAATCATTTGAAACATGACTCACCCACTGACCTGGATTACGCTGCTATACAGTCACTTCTGGCTGCATCCTGTACAGCCTGCAAATGTTTATAACATCAATAAGAGAGAAACGTTTCTGATGCTCGAGACAGGTTTCATGAAAGAATTGAAAGGGAAGCAAAACCTACGTCATATCCTACTTAATGTGAGCTTTCAACGTAAGCAAACTTACTATGTGGGTGCTTTTCTGGCCTCCGTCATGGCAGTATTTGTGCTGCTAGTGAAACGGAAGTCTAGATTGCAGCAAAAACATGCACGTGCAGCTCTTCAATATCCAGTGTTGTTTTTTGCTGAGAGAATACTACTGAGCCTATTGTCAGTAAATTAATTTCATATTAACAAAATTCTAGAAATAAAATACTATGCAAGTGTCATATAAACGTGCACTCTAACATGTAATTTCCTTGAATCTTCAACTTTTTAGAAACGGTGTGTTTCAGGGTTGTTTTTTTAACAATTTAAGAACTTGCCCTGTCTATACATTTACCCTTATAGTCACATCAAATGGAGAGAAATGAATACAAAAAGAGGTGAAATTGACATTTCCTTAAGTGGCAATTCAGCAATGATATTTTCTTCCAAAAAATTGTTCTGCTAGCACACAGCATACGTTCTCCTAGAACACTCAGCATTTACATTGTCCTTTAGTAGTCACAGCACCTCAGGGAGGAATTAAGGTGTTTCTCTTTGCAACTTTTTTTTTTTTTTTAATTACTGAGATTTGCCTTTCCCTTTAAACTCAGTCTTGCATAGACTGGACAGTTTTAATACAATGAGATGATCCAAGCAAACAGGGATCAAGGCTAAGAACATTTTTAAAAAACTCAAGAAAAGTTGAGGAGGTTCTGAAGATGTGATGGGGTGTTTAAGTATTTTAGTTGCTCCTGGAGGGGATCTTTAAGATTTACTGGGACCCACCTGAATGGCGGCCATAGGTGGTGGCTCTGTAGGAACTAGTCAACAGCCTGGTGTTTTAGGGGTGGATGGATGGAAGGAATTAGTAGCTGGAGACTTCTACCAAATTGGTTTCAATTTGAATTAAACCAGAACCCCTGCAATAGAAACTTATCCAGAGAAGGTGATTTGTATCCAAACCCGAGGATCTGCTGAACGTTTTCTCTCCTTTCTGCACTACTCTTACAGACTTCACTATAGACTTCTAAGCTTGATTCATAGTGCTTCAAAAAGTATAGTATAATTTACTCCAATTTCACAGAGCCAATTGTGTGATCCTCTTTTCTAGCATGAACACATTGTATGCGTGTTCTCATGGCACCTGTTTTCTAAGAACTGTAGTTCAGGCTTCAAGAAAGCCCTTTGAGCTAAAGATACAGGGCTGAGCTCTAATGTTTTTTATATATTGTCTTTATTGTAGACGATGTTAAAACAGAGCTGGCAATTGCAGCAGGAAATGGAATTTACATTTCTTGGCATTCTGACCCCAACGTGACCTGCGGCTACACATTAAAATGGTGTATTTCATCTGGATCTGAACCCTGTAATGTGGACTGGGAAATGTTTCCTTCAAATGCAACGGATGCTGTGATCAAATCTGGTAAGAGAAAATCATTGTTTAAATTAGGCTTTCCAATTCAAAGTTTGCATGGTATATTGGCTTTGTAAGTGAATGCAGAAAATTATCAGTAGAAAGGATAAAAGGTACTGTTTTTAAATATCTTCTTTGCACTAATATTTCTGTTAATTTCTCACTCTCCTCAGCGGTCTCCATCTCTTAGTTCTTGATTCAACTATTATTTTCTTTATGCTTTCCAGAATGTTTTGAAGTTACTAAAAGAAATGTATCTGAAGCCCAAACTTTAGCATTCTGTAAAATTGTTAAAATCCAGGGCAAATCTTCCAGATTCCAAATGTACCACTCTGGACACCGAGGGGGGTGAGGGGAAAATGCATTGGTTTTTTGAGTGTGAGAAAGTGAGAGCTTCCTCTGTTGGCTTGCAATAAATAGACAATTGATTTTTCCTGGAGCAAGGCACATTCCAGGTATATAGATGCAGGTAGGCAGGCTAAGAAATAAAAGGCAGGTGTGGTGGGAATAGTGGGGAGCAAAATGGGGAGAAAAGAAATAAGCAGGAAAAGAGGCATATTTCCTGCTGTCCAAGAGGGCATTACAAAGACTAGAACATAATAAATTAAATATAAAGGTCCCATCTAGAGCCAACATTTAAGACTCAGTCACCTAGAGCCTCAACCTACAATGAGATTCTTGTAGTCAGACCCCTGCACCTGCCCGGAGCCCAGTTGACAGCATGGAGGCTCCCAGAACTCATAGGGATCTACCCACATGCATCAAATTGTTGGCTCAAGGTCTGAGCATTTGATTGCACAAAGACTACTACTCAGCACCTCCTGCAACTTCACCGAGTGTCGAGGGCATGCAGCACTTGGTAGGACTGAGTCTTCTGTCATCTTATAGAATGATGGAATAATAGAAATGCAGGGCTGGAAGGGACCTCGAGAAGTAAAGTCCTGCGCTGTGGCAGGACCAAGTAACCTTGACCGTTCCTGACAGGTGTTTGTCCAACCTGTTCTTAAAAACCTCCAGTGATGGGATTCCACAAGCTCCATTAGAAGCCTATTCCAGAGATTAACTACTCTTATAGATAGAAAGTTTTTCCTAATATCTGACCTAAATCTCTCTTGCTGCAATTTAAGGCCATTATGTCTTATTCTGCCTTCAGTAGAAATGGAGAACTATTGATCCTCACCTTCTTTATAACAGCCTTTAATATATTGTGAAGATTCTTATCAGGTCCCCACTCAATCATCTTTTCTGAAGACTAAACATGCCCAGTTTTTTTAACCTTTCCTCATAGGTCAGGTTTTCTAAATATGTTATCATTGATTCAATTGTTGTTCTCCTCTGGACTCTCTCCACTTTGTCTACTTCTTTCCTAAAATGTGGTACCACAAACTGAACACATTCCTCTAGCTAAGGCTTCACCAGTGTTAAGTAAAGCAGGACAATTGTCTCCTGTGTCTGACACATGACACTCCTGTTAATACACCCCAGAATGATATTAGCCTTTTTCACAGCTGCATCTCATTGTTGACTCATATTCGGTTTGTGATCCATTATAACACCAGATCCTTTTCAGCAGTAGTACCACCTAGGCAGTTCTTCCCCATTTTGTAGCTGTGCATTTGATTTTTCCTTCTTAGATACTTTTTACTTGTCTTTATTGAATTTCATCTTGTTGAATTCAGACCAATTCTCCAATATGTCTAGATTATTTTGAATTCTAATCTTGTATTCCAAAGTGCTTGCAAACCCCTCCCAGGTAGATGTCACCTTCAGATTTTATAAGCATGCTCTCCACTCCATTATCCAAGACATTTGATGAAAATATTGAATAGTACCGGACCCAGGGCTGGCCCCTGTGGGACTCCACTAGATATGCCCTTCCAGTTTGAGAGCAAACCATTGCTGATTAGTCTTTGAGTACGGTCTCTTTACCAGTTGTGTACCCATTTTATAGTAATGTCATCTAGAACACATTTCCCTTGCGTATGAGAATGTCATATGGGACTGTTTCAAAAGATTTACTAAAATCAAGGTTTCAGAGTAGCAGCCGTGTTAGTCTGTATCTGCAAAAAGAACAGGAGTACTTGTGGCACCTTAGAGACTAACAAATTTATTAGAGCATAAGCTTTCGTGGGCTACAGCCCACTTCTTCGGATGCATATAGAGTGAAACATATATTGAGGAGATATATATACACACATCACTGAACAAAAACACTGACCCAGGAACCTATCCTTGTAACAAACCCCGATGCCAACTCTGTCCACATATCTATTCAAGTGACATCATCATAGGACCTAATCACATCAGCCATACCATCAGGGGCTCGTTCACCTGCACATCTACCAATGTGATATATGCCATCATGTGCCAGCAATGCCCCTCTGCCATGTACATTGGCCAAACCGGACAGTCTCTACGCAAAAGAATTAATGGACACAAATCTGACATCAGGAATCATAATACTCAAAAACCAGTGGGAGAACACTTTAACCTGTCTGGCCATTCAATGACAGACCTGCGGGTGGCTATCTTACAACAGAAAAACTTCAAAAACAGACTCCAACGAGAGACTGCTGAGCTGGAATTGATATGCAAACTAGATACAATTAACTCAGGATTGAATAAGGACTGGGAATGGCTGAGCCATTACAAACATTGAAGCTATCTCCCCTTGTAAGTATTCTCACACTTCTTATCAAACTGTCTGTACTGAGCTATCTTGATTATCACTTCAAAAGTTTTTTTCTCTTACTTAATTGGCCTCTCAGAGTTGGTAAGACAACTCCCACCTGTTCATGCTCTCTGTATGTGTGTATATATATCTCCTCAATATATGTTTCACTCTACATGCATCCGAAGAAGTGGGCTGTAGCCCACGAAAGCTTATGCTCTAATAAATGTGTTAGTCTCTAAGGTGCCACAAGTACTCCTGTTCTTTTTACTAAAATCAAGATATCACATCTACTGCTTTCACCTCCCCCATCCACTAGGCCAGTAACCCTGTCAAAGAAGGAAACTAGGTTGGTTTAGCATGATTTGTTCATGACAAATTCATGCTGGCTGTTCATTACCCCCATTATCCTTCAGGTGCTTACAAATTGATTGTTTAATAATTTGTTCCAGGTATCCAAGTTAGGCTAACTGGTCTATAATTCCCCAGGTCCTCTTTGTTCCCCTTTTTAAAGATAGGCACTATGTTTGCCTTCTCCAGTCTTGTGGGACCTCACGGGTACTCCAGGAATTCTCAAAGATAATTGTTAATGGTTCCGAGATTTTTTCAGGATAGTTCCTTAATTTCATTAGGCCTTGTCACTTAGACATATTCAATCTTATATACATATTCTTTAACCTGTTCTTTCCCTATTTTGGCTGTCATTCCTTCCCCCAGTTGTTTAATATTAATTGTGTTGAGTATCTGATCACCATGAGCCTTTTTACTGAAGACTGACACAACACAGGCATTAAACACCTCAGCTTTCTTGATCCCATCAGTTATTAGCTCTCCTTTCCCGCTAAGTAGAGGACCTACACTTTCCTTCGTCTTTCTCAGGCTCCTAATGTATTGAAACAACCTCTTCTTATTGCCTTTTATGTCCTTTGCCAGGTGTAACTCATTTGTGCCTTAGCTTTTCTGATTTTATTCTTACATGCTTGTGCTATTCTTTGATACTTCTTGTTAGCAATTTGTCAATGTTTCCACTTTTTGCAGGATACCTTTTTGATTTTCAGCTCTGTTTCATAAAGAGCTCCTGATGAAGCCATATAGACCTTTTACTATTCTTCCTAACTTTCCATTGTACCAGGATAGTTTGCAGTTGTACCTTTAATATTGTCTCCTTGCAAAACTGCCAGCTCTTTTGAACTCTTTTTTCCCTTAGATTTTCTTTCCCTGGGATCTATCCCCTTGTTTAGAGAGAGAAGAACAACGTATGTTTTATACAAACTCGATTCAAGCCTTGAGCTCATTATTGAAGAGAATAGTCACCCTGAATAACAGTGCTGTAATGGATGTGGCTATAACAACTAAGAAAAAATCAGTTGATGAGCCACTATATCTGGGGAGGGGAAAGAAGAAACATGACAGCTTTGAAGTGTTGAAGGAAAAATAACATTTCTGTTAACATTGCAAGTGTGTGTTTCATAATGGAAAGCAACAATCTGTGCTGCTTCCAATATTTTCTTAATGATATTTGTTTAGACTGTCTAGGTTGCTCTGAATGGTCAAAATTATTTACTGACTCTGAACTGTGTGTGTAATGGCACACCTTTTGTGTATAAATACAGTATAGATTAAATAGGGAAAATATTAATATGTAAATACCATATGGTCTAATTCAGGGGTTCTCAACCTTTTTCTTTCCAAGGCCCACCTGTGTCCCAACAACTGTTCTCCTGCTTATAAAAGCCAGGGCTGGTAACAAGCAGGGCAATTGCCTGGGGTCCCGGGAAGCTCAGTTGCTCAGGCTTTTATATGCAGAAAAACAGTTGTTTCCTGTGGCTTTGCTGTTCTGCGGCTTCAGCCCCAGGCAGCAGGACTCCAGGGCAGTGGGGCTTCAGCCCCTGCAGTGTGGCGGGGCTTGGCAGACCCTCTGAAACCTGTTTGTGGCCCCGAGAAGGCCACAAATCCCCAGTTTAGAATTGCTGGTCTAATTATTTGTGCTGTTACTTTAAATGTTTTTGTATGAAAATATGCATGTAAAAGCTTAAAATATAACTCTTGCTAAAAAGATTTTGCTTACCAGTGATATTCTTCTGCAGCTCTGTTTCAACCTGGTGTGAGATACAATTTTTCACTATATGGCTGCAAACACAATGGATATCAGTTATTACAGAATATAACGGGATATATGAAAGAATTGCGTAAGTGCATTTTATTGTTAAGATCCTTTAGAAATACAAGATAAAATAAATATGACTAACTTGTACTAGTCTTCTCTAGATAAATTAGAAAAAGTCTGAAAGCAGAATCTCCTTACTGCTGAATATTTCCTTTATCTCTTTCAGTGCCACTAGCCCTTAGAGTTCATTAATAAAGATTTTTAATGTATCACTTATTCACTAATTCAGTGAACTTCCACTCTCTGTGTCCTAGCTGGTTCTTATTCTGTTGTCTGAAAATCAGATTGAAATTATTGTAATATTTAATGTGAAAGTGGGATACAGAAGTTAAAATGGGGATTCAGCCCTAAAAAGTTTGAATAAATGGCAATATGAAGTTCCACCTGCCTCGTATTACTCACTTCCATGACAAATGTGCTCAGTTTGCAAGTCAAAAGATGTTTTTTCCCACTGTTACCCCCACAATGTTATCCTGAGTTTTGACAGCCTGGTCGTTGGCTTCCATATTGCACATCATCAACAACAGGGTCTGCATCCAAATATGCCCTTTGTTGTGCTCATGTAAGTGCATTGTCTTCAGATTATGCTGTGTGACACAGGCGCCGACTTTCCAAGGTGCTCAACCACTGGCTCTGTGCCAGGCCCCGCCCCCATTCCACCCCTTCTCCTAAGGCCCCACCCCAGCTCCACTCCTGTCCCACCTCTTCCCATCCAGTTCGGCCCCCTCCCCCCAAGCACGCCGCGTCCTCGCTCCTGCCCCATCTCCGCGCCCCCCCCCCCCAGCTAATCGTGGCATGCAGGAGATGTGGGGAGGGAGGGGAAGGTGCTGATTGATCATGGGGCCCGCTGGCGGGCGGGAGGTACTGGGGAGGGTGACAGGGGGGCTGTGGGTGGGTGGTCAGCACCCACCATTTTTTCCCCCTGGGTACTCCAGCCCCGGAGCACCCATGGAGTTGGCACCTATGCTGTGTGACATCTGTGCAGTCCCATTTACAGCTAATAAGGTTGCACAGGGATCACTGAAGACAGTGGTTATACAGGTAAAGCTGAGGTATAATTTGGGCTTCAAGGAACCATTATTACTGGCCTTCTGCAGTGTGAAAAGAGTCCATCTTGACTAGAGCTGGGCAAAAAATGTTGGCCAAAACTTTTTCCCAGAAGAATTAGCTGCAGGTTGACTGAAACGCTTTGTGAATTCAGGTTGAATTCACCAAATTGTTTTGGTTAGAAAACAAAACAAAAAAAATTCTGGAAAAATTGAAACATTTCATCTCAATGCTTTTCTAAACAAAAAGCGTAGATTCTTTTTGTTCAAAACACGTTTTTGGTTCAAGTTTTGATGCAATTTTACTTGTTTAAAAAATGAAACGTTTTTTTGTTTTTGAATAAAAATATTTTTTTCAACCTGAAACCTACATTTTCTTTACTTTTTTGGGTCACCAGAACATTTAAAAAAATTGTCTTTGGTTCAATGCAAAACAATTTTTTTGGTTTGGCCAGTGAACACAACTCTAATCTTGACTGTTGAAGCCAAAGTGAGTGTGTGGGGCTCAGTTACTTTGCAAGTAAAAATATGTCTGAGTATATTTAATATAGAAATCAGTGAGACACAGTGAATAAAGAAACCTACAATGTTCTTTATATCTAAATCAGTTTTTAGAGTAAAATTGCATTTTTAAAATATGAATATATTCTCATTAATTACAATTCCAGAGTTTGCATTTATATCTAGTGCTGATACTGACTTGGAATGCCTTAGATGTTTAAAGACCACCCCTCTACTCCCTTTTGCTCTGTTCCTGGAAGTCTGAACTCTCTTTATACGTAACAGCTAGGAGAGTGAAGGATAAATGCATATTGTGTAGCTATAGGACCCATTTCTTTTTGAACTTTAAGGTATCTTTTGCCAGGTGCTTGGAATAATTTTATTGGAAACTTTTTCTGATTACTTAGTCTGAGGCAGGGTAATGCTTTGTAGGGATCACTGCTTGCTGCTTAATGCTATGATGGAAGATGAAATGAAATGTTTACTCTTATCTCTTGTTTTCAACCATTTACACCTCTCTTAAAAAACAACATCAAAGCATTTGGACTAAGTTTGTCATATTTTTCAAAACAGAAATTGTGATATAATAGATATATAATTTCTTATCGTGTAAGAACACAGTTGGCTTCTAAAATTTCACTCATGGTGGTATCTGTACCTCCAGCTAAGGCCTGTTATATGAATGCGCCTTGCTGTGATCCCTGCACTAGAGCCCATGTATTGCAATGGAGATTTGTGACTCCTGCTGGGACGCAGCAGTGCTTTTAAACAGCGTTAATACTTTTCTCAAAGAAGAATGCAGGCTCTGTTGTTACTAAATACAATTTCTTCAAATAAAGCAAAGTTACAGCCATTTGAAAATGAGACAGTTTCTATTAAGTTGCATCTTTCTAACGTTTGCACTAGCTGGATTTATTTTTAATGTGTGTTCATACTGTTTGTATAGCACCTAGCACAATAGGGTCCTTGTCCATGACTGGGATTAGTAGATGCCCTTGCAATACAAATTACTGGTGATAATATACCAACACGGAGGCTGATGTAGTGACACCTGGCTAATGTCACCTCTATTATTAATATATATATATTTTTGGAAAGGGAAAAAAATGGATCTAGAAAATTTTCAGTGTAGTGATCAACATGTCAGTCCTAATAATAATGCTGTAATACTAACATACTCTTAGCATACAATGGAAGGATAGTTATTTAACTTTTTTTTTTTTTTCCAATTCTTTCCATAGCTCCAAAGGTAGCACCAAATTTTACTGTAGAAGAAACCTCATCAGATTCAATATTAGTAAAATGGGAAGACATTCCTGTGGAAGACTGCCAGGGGTTTTTAAAGGGATATATTCTTTACTTTGCAAAAGGGGAGAAAGGTTCTTCAAAGACTAGTTTTACGGACGAAGGTAAATAAAATATATGGTCCTCAATTTTCCTGTAAACTCCCAGTACTCGCTAATGAATAGTCCTTTAAGAAACAATTGTTTAATTACAGTTCAGTTGGCATTGTTCAACACCTAAATTGGCCTTTCAGAACTGGTGAAGACATTTAAAATACTAACTGCTCATGTGGGCAAGAGTAGATGAACTGAGTGGAATTTCTAGTTCACTAGGGTACCCACATCACACAAGTCACCATGACAATGAACATCCAGTCCCTGAGGAAAACACTGAGAGTGTGAAAATGGCAAACCCTCCAGAACTGGGTTTAAGTGCATTGGCAGTGTGGTTGGGATAATGTTGCATTGCCAATGCTCATGCTATCTCTGGTCTGTAGATAAAGAGAAGGCCAGTTTCTTTCCCTGTTAGTGTGATACTTTTCATTCAGTTCATTCCAAAACTGATAATTGTGGTAGTGTGCAAATGATAGAAGAAATAACCTTATAAGATGTAATTGCACTTACCAGAGATGTTCTGAAATGTAATTATATGAAGTCTGTAGCAAATGGTGGAGTTCAGTGCATGACATCTTTATTTTCAGCTTGCAGTTTATTAATGTTTAGTCTGCCATAATCCTTGTTCTTCATTCTTTGGGCTTGTCTTTACTGCAAACTTAATTTGAGTTAAAATTCGAGTTCTGCCCCCAACTCAAGGTTAGGATTGTGAGCAGGCTTTAATTCCAGTATGGTGATGCTTTTAACTCAAGCTGGCTGGTCCATCAGGAAGTATAGGCTAAAACTTGATTTAGCACAGCTAGTCATCTGCTAACACAATGACTCCGTAGTATGGATGCAGGCTAAGTCTTCCAAGGCCTTCTCACAATTCCTCCACATGTGCCAGACAGGGCAAACAAGTTCTCCCACAGTTCATTAGGAAAAAATTCATAGAATGGCTCAGCTTGCAGCTGTGCTAAGAATGCAATTATATGTCATCAGAAGTCTTAGTGCAGCATCAGTGTGGACACAGCAGCTTGAGTATTACTTCATAGCACGGCTGCTCTCACTCGAGCTGGGCTAACTTAAGAGGAGTAACTCAAGTGTACATAATGAGAGTTACTTCTGCACTGAAGATATACCCTTTGTGCTGCTGAATTAACACCCTGTTACACTACACAGTAGTGGATTTTCTGCAGCATAATTCTGTACTCAGGATTTCGCTCCATTAAAAAGATCGTTTTCCAGTTTAATATGAAGTTTGAGTTTTGTGAACATATTCTAATGTGGTGTACGTTCCCTACCTTTTTAAACAGAAAACAAAACAGAAAAGAATATTACTGACCTAACGAAAAAGTCTTTGAGAATACTTGATCTTCAAGGCAAAACAAGTTACCGACTGGGCTTACGAGCCTATACCGTTGGTGGAATAGGCCCATCGAAAGACCTGTATGTGGTGACAAAGGAGAATTGTAAGTTGAACATTCCTGTTCGCTAATACTTCTAGCATGGCAATGCTTAAGTCAAACAGTACTATGATCTTTATTTTGGACTCATCTGATGTCTTTTCCTGCTTAGCTATCCCAGAACTGTTATCTGTATTTTTAAATAGCAGATCGGGGGGGGGAAATTAACCTTAAAGCTATTCAACTGTTACAGCTACTATGAAGCTCATAATAATTAATGCTTGTTTAAAAACTTCATCAACTCATACATATGGATGGGGTCTGAACCCATAACTGCTCAAAAGATTGAAAATTACTAAAGCCACCTGAGGATCAGAGGGGAAAAAAAAAAGAGGTTTACTCAGTTTGGAACGAAGAAGTGCATGAAATGACTGCCCAGAAGGCTAAACGGGCACTTTCGTTAGGGGAGAAAAGGAGATGCTCAGTGATCTTAAAAGACTAAACTAGGTAAAAGGCAATGCACTTATGCAACATGTAATTAACCTGTAGAAATCACTGCCACAGAATAGACAAATAGTTTGATAATTTTAAATAGCCACCTAAAATACAATAAACACTAGCAGTTATGCTCTCTGGGATAAAATTTGCAATCAGTCCTATCATCATGCATGTGAAGCTTAGTACCAATAGGGGATCAAACAGAAACCTCTTCCTTTTCTACACACTATTTCACAATTGACGAACTACATTATCGGAGGGTTTGTCTTTTGCAATGAAGGATGTGGTATAGGCCCCTGTTGTAGGCAGATGGGGCTTGATGAGCTGTCACTGATCTATAAAGCGGCCTATAATATCTGGGAATGTTACAAAAGGGTTGTGAGCCACACTTTGTTGATAACTTTGAATATCTCTTACTGTTTTTCATTATTTTTTCCCAGCCGTGGGGTTGATCATTGCCATTCTCATCCCAGTGGCAGTAGCTGTTGTGCTTGGAGTGGTGACCAGCATCCTTTGCTACCAAAAGAGGGAATGGTAAACGCTCATTTTCAGTTAAATTCTTCTATTTGTTTGTGTTGAGTAATTTATTGCCTTCCTGTGAGGGGGTGCACTCACCTCTCATGAGTGCCTCCTGTTGGCTGGGTGTGGTGCTGCAATCTTATTTTTCTCCTGGTGCCCCTATAGGCTGCCGACCTCGCTAGACAGGTTTTCAGTGGCCCAGCACTCCAGGCAGGTCACACACAATCTAAAATGGACAAACCCCTTCTAGGGTACTCAAGTCAAAAACAAATATAAACAAGTCTTCCAGTTCCCTGGCTCAAGCTGGACTCAGCCCATTCTTCCTGAGGGTGCCTGCTCTCTTCAGTCCCTGTTGGGCACCTTTAAATCTAGCCCCCTTTATTGGGCTTTTAGTAAAGAATCTTTTAACCTCTTTAGGGTTTAGGTCACTTCTCCACTGGCTGGTGCGGGAAGGGGGACCCAGGCCCACCTGCTACTCTGGGTCCCAACCCAGGGACCCTGCAAACAGCAGCCACGTGCTGCTTTCCGTAAGAGTTGCTGCTGCATTCCCTGGGCTGTTTCACAGTCGGTCTCATCGCCTTCACCTATTACCTTAGGGTTACAGTCCTTGGGGTCTCTCTGTCTTATCCCTGCTTGAGCAGGGTCTCTCCCAGGCCTCCTTCCCTGAAGAGTTTTGCAGCCTTCCAGCCCTTCCTCACCCTTCTGGTCCTAGCCAGTGACTGACCTGCTAAGCCCCTTTGGCTCCTTTTAACTGAGCCTGTTGGGCTCTGATTGGTTGCTTCCCTGCAACCTTTCTAGGCAGGCCTGGAGGAGCCACCTTCACTGCTCCTGCAGGGAGCCTTAAAAGGCCTGGTACCCCCTGTCATGCTTCCCAAAACACCTGAGGATTTCAGTGGGCTTTACACAAGACCTTTGGGTGAGGGTGGGTGGTATTCCCATTTTATAGTTGGGAGGGATAGGAGAGAAGGGAGGCCCAGAGAAGTAGCGATTTGGCCACAAGGTCCCACAGTGAGTCAGTGACAGAGCCAGAAGAACCCAAATCTTCTGCTCATTTTCCAGTGCTCTTCTCCTCCACCTGAGGCTGCATGCAAGGTCAGGTGTAGTAGAACTTGAATTAAAATGTGTAGAATTAGGCATACATTTAATTTGTGATCTGCCCATGATCAATTTACAGTCCATCTTCAAGCTTTCAGAAACCTGAAACTCCAGTGGAAGCATCAGAAGAATGTGTACATTTTTTTTACATGCAGCCTAAAGCACAACTGTGTGAAGTGAAAAATTTGAACAGTTAAAGTTTATACTCTGTGTTGAGGATTACGACCTGATAGTAACATCATGACTGTTTTTCTTGCTTTCTTATTTTGACATGCTGAACCTTTGCTGGTAATTTTGAAAATTACTTAACTTTTCTCTATAAAGGATTAAAGAAACGTTCTACCCTGACATTCCAAATCCTGAGAACAGTAAGGCATTGCAATTTCAGAAGAATATATGTGAGGTAACCTTCATTTTAATTAAAATTTTAAGCATCTAAAACAGTGGTCCCCAAACCGAGGAGCCCGGGTCAGCCCCCACAAGGAAGTGGGGAGGGAGCACTACCCAGCCCTGCTCTTCCCCCAGCTCTGCTCCAGCCCAGCCACCAGTCCCTGGCTGCAACTCCAGCGAATGCCTCACTGCTAAATGATGAACTAGCACTCGGCTGAGCCCTCAAGGGTTGTTGTTAATGTAGCCTCACACTACAAGGCAGCATGAATGGAGGGAGGAGAGACAGCATGGCAGACAGAGACACACACCATGTAAGGCCTTGGCTACACTCGGGAATTCACAGCTGCGGCAGCGCTGTGAAGCGCGAGTGTAGTCGCGCTGCCAGTGCTGCGAGAGAGCTCTCGTCGCGCTGTATGTACTCCACCTCTCCGAGGGGAGTAGCTTGCAGTGCTGCGAGCGAGCGTGCAGCGCTGCAGGCTCTGATTACACTGGTGCTTTACAGCGCTGCACTCGCTGCGCTCGGGGGGAGGGCGTTTTCACACCCGTGAGTGCAGCAAGTTGCAGCGCTGTCCAGCGCCAGAGTAGCCAAGGTCTGTAAGAGAGAGAGAGATGCGCATTGCCCGTTTAAGTACGCTGACCCCACTCTAAGTACACTGCCTTTTTAAATAGATCAGCAAATTGAGACAGCAGCTCCTGCCAGCAAGCTCCCTCCGTCCTGAACCCTGTCGTGTCCCCCCCCTGCTCTTTGGAAATGGGGTAAGCAGGGGGCAGGAGAAGGGGGGAGGGGGACACCCTGACATTTGCCTCCCTTCCCTCCCCCCCCTCGCAAAGCAAGCAGGAGGCTCCAGAGAGCACCTCCAAGGCAGAGGGCAGGAGCAGCACATGGCAGTGGAGGGAGGGACAGCTGAACTGCAGGCAATTGATAGCCTGCTGGGCGGCTGCCACACAAGGAGCTTAGGGGAATGGGGAGCTGAAAGGGGGGCCGCCCGCCCACCCTGGTTCCAAGCCCCCACCAGCTAGCTCCAACGGGCTGCTCTTTCTGCAAGCAGTGGACAAAGCAGGCGGCTGCCAAACGACGTTATAAGGGAGCATTGCGCAACTTTAAACGAGCATGTTCTCTAATTGATCAGCAACGTAACAACGAAACAATGTTAACCGGGATGACTTTAAGTGAGGAGTTACTGTACTGTCTATATGAACTAAAATAGTATTACATTTTCTTAATATCCAATTCTTTTGCATTATCCTCACTTTCCTGCTTTTCTTGTGGCTTTTTTTTAGGGGAACACAGCTCTTAAAACCTTGGAAATGAACCCTTGTACCCCGAATAGTGTGGAAGTGGTGGAAACGCAATCCACAGTCCTTAAGATAGAAGACACAGAAATTATATCCCCTGTAGCGGATAGTGAGCTTCCTGAAGATGGGTCTGACCCAGAAACAGGAAGCCACGTGGTGGTGTCATACTGCCCACCAATCATTGAGGAGGAGATCTCCAGTCCACCAATAGATGAACCTGTGGGATCTTCTCAAGTCATTTATATTGACATTCAGTCAATGTATCAGCCTCAAGTTAATCCAGAGGAAGAGCCAGAAATTAACTTTGTCACTACAGCAGGCTATAAGCCACAAATGCAACTGCCAATTAATGCTATGAAAATGGAGAGTCACTCACCCACAGAAGAGGACTTAGATAAAACTGCGGGCTACAGACCTCAAGCAAACACTAATGTCTGGAAGTTAGACTCTCCAGACTCTCCTATATCAATTCAAAGCAACAATGAAAATGGATCTTTTGGAAGTCCGTGCTCCATTAATTCTCGACAGTTTTTGATCCCCCCAAAGGATTATGAAGACTCTCCCACCCATAACAACACTGGGTGGTCCTTTACAAATTTTTTTCAGAACAAACCAAATGATTAACCATCATGGTAATCGTCATTTCATCCGAACTTGCCATTCAATAAGTTCTTGTTCCTAGTGTTGTCATATCAGCATGGGTTATCCTTGGAGACAGTCAGCAGCTTTTTTTTTTTTGTGAGCTGAATGTTACCACATTTAAGTTAAAGTGTTAATGTTCCATTTTAATACAGGCTAAAAACTCAGTTATAGAAACTCAGTTATTATACTATGAAGATATAGGGGTTTTGAGGTTAGATCTCCTCGTAATCCTAGTCAAAGAACTCTGTCTGCTTTCAAGTTGTGTTTCAAGATCAATGTGATCTCATACAACTTGTTACTTTGAAAGGTGTTCTACTTCTGTTGTTAACTGGCTCTTATAATGAATATTCAGAATAACTAAATCCAAATCAGTTTATAAACTGTCTAGATGAGGGTGATGGCGGTAGGTAAACTTTCAGTCTAACAGTTGGAAATTACATGCTTAGATTGGTAGTTAATTAAATCTGTTACCAAGACATTACAATTAGCACTTTAATCTGTGCTTAGTTAAAGTCCCACGGGTAAAAATATCATAATCATTTAACACTTTAAACAATGGCTATTCATGTTTGTTGTTTGATAACCAGAACTCTAGATTCTGTACCTACTGTACAATGTTTATTCAATATCTGACTCAGGGGTACAAACTTGGAAAATGAGTATAACACTGATTTAAACCTCAACAAGAACTGCAAAATGTTTAAACTTCAGCATTAATTTTTTAAACCTTAAAACACTATCTTTTTTCTCTTTTGGTTAAGGAGGTAGTATTTCCTAACATATTGCACTAATGTGTTTTGTATTTTAGAGCTGCAGCTCCAGATCTGCTACCTCAAAGAGGTTAAGCATCTTTTTCTTCTAGAAACACTAGTTTAGACCATTATTAGTCTAGAACTAAAGTGCTGTGAGCAGGCCACCCGAGTGATTAGTCTCATTCTTCAACAGTTGTTGGTTGCATTAACCTATCAGTAGAGACTGCTCCATAGATTGCATTTAGTAGCACTAGCTGCCCAGGCAGATTTGCTCCACCAGTGAGAAAGGTTGGTCTTTATCTGTAATAGTCCCCACCAGCCAGGAAGACACTCTGTGGCTAAACTCCAGAAACATTATCTACCAAACAGAGCACTCTTTCCAAATCCTACGTGGAAACATAAGGTGAGATTTCTCTACAGGCAAGGGGGATCCCAGGTAAGCTAATGCCACTAATGGTTTTTAATAGCTACTCCCCAGCACTGGTCACCCAATGTAATGCTCTAATGGCAAGATTAGCATTTGTGTGTGTTTTTAAAGAAATGTTAAAAATCATCATCGTTGAGTATTTCTGCTTTCACACCTACGTCACATAAACCTGCTATAAACAGCTCTAATTGTAACACTTCAATGTATAAACATTAGATTGTGACAGATGCATCACAAGAACCAAGCCATTACTTCATTGACTTTGTTTTTTAAATGCTTTATAACTTAAATCTGTTTCTAATTGTTAAAAAAAAAATAATAATGATGGAGGGTCATGTGATGCAACATTGAAGTAAAACAGTGTGCTCTTAAGCTCTTAGCTAAATCCTTTTAAGGTCTCGATTTCGAGCATTAATTTGTGGCTCCTCAAATAATTAATTTGCAGAAATAGCTTTCTAAACCGAGCACTGAGACAGCCAGTCCTGCTGAATTTGATATTAGACCCACAGCTCTGAAGTAGTCGGAGCAGATCAGGAAGACAGGTCTCCAAAACCATACACATCCACTGCATGTGGAACTGTGATCTGGCCACCCATCAGACAAAAATTACCTTAAACCTGATCACAGCAATAAATACTAAGATTCTGTATCTGCACCCACTTTTCTTTATACTTCAAAAGTGGCATAACTTACCATGATCTATGTTTGGCTGAGTCTCTTGGATAAAAATGAATGTCTTTCTCCAAGTGTTCCCTATCCTCTCTTAAACCAAAAAACACTGAATGGATCAGGTATTGATTTTTATGTGACATCAGAGGATACTGATAATCAGCTTGATGAGGCTTGAAAGGCAAAAAACAAAAGAGGGTATTAACCTCTTAAAAATCTGATTTATGGTGAAGGCACATTGCTCCATCAGGAGATCAGAGAACATCCTGTCCTTGGGACCACTCTGCAAATGTGGAGAAAAAAGCAATTCCATACCTTGGTCTATTATCAAAATTCTCATTGACTTCCCAGATGTGTGCAAGGTACCAGGTTTTCTTTCAGGATGTGAAGACGGTAACTTCAACGGATGGGCTGTCAAAGGACAGTAGATCCTTGGAGATTTTTATTTATCGCAAGTCATAATGCAATTGACTTTTGAACTGCTCAGAATTAAATTTAATCTTTCTTGGGATTTCTATACATAACTACAAGTAACTCACTTCCTAGACATGGTAGCTAAATGAGAAACTCCACAATTGGGAATACAAATTGGAAGAAACTCTGGTGGTGGCCTTACTCAATCTCTTCTTGCTACCGCACAAATTTTGTTAAGAAATGCAAGTACATGCCCCAAGGTCTTCCATCTCCTGAACTTCATATCTTAAAATCCCTTTTGAGGATTAACAGTGGCAAAAAGCCCTTTGCAAATAGAGGTTTCAACATTACAAGCAAGCGCCATACTTTGCGCTGCACAGACTTTACTATTTTCATTAAACTTTGAACAAAATCTGTACATTGCAGATTAGTTTGAGTCCATGGGAAATGTATAGTTTTATTTGCTATGATAAATATTTATGCAAAGACAAATCTTAAGTTTTAATCTATGCAGAGTACCATTATATTACATTTCTTTTATTTCACTTACCTGGATATAGCATTTGGTAATCTCCAGTACTTTAAACTGTCCCTTTTTGTTTCTCTTATACAATTGGAAAAAAATTAATTAATTGGATTTGCCTGGAACAGAAGATCAGTTAAGCCCATGACAGATGCAGTATACTATACCTGCTCTCAGGTTACACTGTGTGTTTCACCATTTATTGACAGTAAAGGCAACAATATTTGAAATAATTTGATTTCTGAGTGATGAGGGAGCACTTTATTTTCTTAGCGTACAGGGCATTCTGCATTGTGACCTAAACACTCAAGTAAAGTGCAGGTATTTCTTCTTTCACCAGCTGTACTACTTTACTTTTTAAAAATGTGAGTTAGTTACATCCCTTGCACAGGCTTTCTGGGGCACTTTCTGATCTTGGGGTTTATGGCCAAGAACTCCTATTCTCAATGCAAGGGCTTGAATACCCGCTTCGCATTATGCCACTGTAATGGGGATGAGACTAGTAGGTGAGACAGACAGGTGTGTGTCTATATGCTGTATGTGCATATATCAGATACAGTGTGTTAAATTGTTACAAACCAGTTAGCAGCTGTCTTCATAACAATCTAGGCCTGGCTAGCAGTGCAATTCAGTTATGTGCTAGTTCACAGATACAGTGGAGTACTTTGAAAGCTACTTCAGATGCCTGATGTTAAAGTAAAGATTGTCATTTTCAATGAGCACAAACACCAGAATTTTCAGTAAAATCTCCAGGAAGAGGCATAACAAATTAGTGAAGATGTCAGCCAACCTTTGGGTCTGAAAGGATAAAATAGGAGTGAATGACTAATATTGTTAAGTGATTGAATTTCTTTCCAAACCTGTGCAAATGTACACTAATCGCTGAAGCGCCGTAAAGAAAAAAGTAGAGGTGTAACTAGTCTTCCATTCCAAGGTTACTCTCTATGCATGGTGCTGTTTAACTTCCATAAACATTAATGGGAGTTGTAAGGAGAAAGCCACAGGTTTCAAATGAAATTAGGCTCCTTAATTGATGCCTTGTAGTTTCCCAATGAAATCCCTTTGTTGTTTTCCCCGTTTCTGAAAAAGCCTCTCATATAATAGAAAATTTTGCAACACATTTTTCTTTTTTATATCTCAGCCTTTGGATTTATTAAAAACCTATAGATATGTATTTTAAAGTGGGGGAGTGAAGGAATAAATTTTACTTCCAAAAGAGATTTGAATTTAATAATAAGGGCTTCTGTCAATGCACACTATCACTCTGTTTTAGATCACGGCTAGTTTTTCAGTTTTAACACTGTTCAGGCATCTAAGAGATGTTAATATGTTTTTGGGGTTTTTTTTAAATGTCAGGCAGTTTAATTCTGGAGCAAATAATTTATGCTGCTGCTTTTTCATTTTGAGCCATGTGTGGTTTGTAGGATTTTGTTTTGTGGAAAGGATTTTTGTATTCTCTCTGTTATTGAGCATCAGTAGCATTTGATTTATTTGTGTGTACTCTCTAGTCTATGTTCATTATTTGTGTTGTATTGACTGATACATGGAGACTTGGAATCCTAACTGATACGACATTTTAATTAGGGTTGTAAATTTGAATAGCCTATATATGATATACCTCACAAAGCTGGTTAATATACCATCAAATGTAGTAAGCTAACATTACAGATAGTCAGTGAATTTTTTCCTCTGCCATGTGTTCTCTGCATATGCAGGCTTAGGACCTGATCCTGCAAACACTCACTACTATGTAGGCCTCACTATGGTAACTAGTCCATTGAAGTAATGGGCCTCCATACAGTAATGAGCACCACACCTGATAGAAACAGCTTGCAATACTGTCGCTCAGATTGAAGTCAATTGGCAGATTCAGCATATTACTTTCTTACAGTATGTCTGCACTTCAAGCTAGCAGTGTATTTCCCAGCAAAACACTTTTGCTGGCTAGTGTCTCCTTGAGTTGAGAATCTTACCTCCAGCGCAAAGTGTAGATGTATCCTTTGTTGTATGTGGTGGGATGAGGGTGTTAGTTTCACAGGGAAATAGAAGCCTGGATTACTCTGAAGAGGAAAATACAGGCCTTTGAACTAAGTTCACCTAAGCAAGGCAAGTTTGGGCCTTGTAGCCATTTGATGCAGGTTTATATAGTGTGGTCCCCTGAGGCTGTCCCTCTGACCCAAGTTCAGTTGAATGTGAAATTGCTCAGAGAGAGAGAGAGAGAGTAATTGCAGAATCAAAGGAAATTGTATACATGGGAGGGGGCAAAATACTCCAGAGAGAAATGTAACAAGATCACCAGTGCTATATTTTTAGTCAATTTAATTATATTGCTTTTTGTTATTGTACATATTAAATACACTACAGTAATAGATATGACTGTCATTCAAAAGCTATATTGGAAATATAAAGGAAAAACGTGGATATTGATTAGACTGGAAGAGTCAAATGGATAGCTGTGCTGTGTTTTACTATAATAAATAGCTAGTATATCCTATCTTCTCGTGTAAATAAAATAGTATTCTCAGTTCCAAAGTAGAGGAATTTAATGAGAACTTTAGTTCAGATGGTTTTAATATCATTTCTAATTTTTTTAAAAGGTCCTAAGTTATTTATGCAAATATATACTTGTACTTATACTGTACTTCCATATTGTATAATAAATCATCTTGAAATTCCCAGGACATTTTATCAGAGAGCCCCATTCTGGCATATGATGTTGTATTAGAGGTGGAACATTTTCTAAAATGCTAGAAAGGGGAATCCTATCTGCACTTCCCACAACATCGTTACATTGTGGTTCATGTTGTTGCATGTAAAATATTGACTTGTGCAATTAATGTTTAAATGGATGCTGTCAGCAATTGTTCTTTAGACTGTTGTAGTTTTTGTTTCTGTAACCCTCAGTTCTTTAGAGAGGAACAAGAACCCCAAATCCAAACACATTCAGACTTTGGAGTTTTTGAAATCCAAACCCAGATACAGCTCCAAACTTTGGTGTGTTTAAAGATCCAGTTCCACGTCCTGAAGCTTGGGCCCATCTGTTATTTTTTAAATGTCCTCATAGTAGCTGGAAAATAGTTCCTTTCATTATCATTTTTTTCTTTTCCGTTTGTCTAACACTGGATTTTCCCCAGTGTTTCTAACATAGCCAATGTCTGTGGTTCCTTTTTCATGTTAGGCAAACAAGTATCAAATGAGGCTAGCAGGAGTGATGTTTTGCAGCTTTAGAAAATTGTCCCAGCAGATGTAACAATAGTTTTGCCCATAAAATGATAGCTAATTTCTCTGCAGAAGGGAGATGAATATCCACATGAGTTTCAAACCTTGGCAGACTAAATTTTAAGCCTAAATTATTTCACAAGCTCCTTTTTATTTTGTACCACTTAAGGAGATACTGCTAGGTAAAATTTGGCAGAGTTAGGGTCTGTGTAATTAGAAAAAAAATCAAAAGCTAACACCAACAGAAATATTTTCACGATTTAAACAATTCTAATTGGAACAATTTTTTAAACAAACATTTGCAACTTATATTGCAGCATTTCACTAAGGCATGAGAACTAAAGAGTGTAATTGATTAGAAATTGACTATAAAGAAAAGTTGCTAATTTATTTTCATTGTTCAAGCTCAGAAAATTTCAAAAAAGTAATCAGTTTAATTAGTGAAAAGTCAAATTGAATTAGCAAAGGGCTTTCTTTTACTTTAGATTATTCAAGAGTTTGTAACATAAGTAAGAAAATGAATTTTTAAGAATACATTTTTAATCTGGCCGTGTCTCTTTATATAATAGTAAAAAGTGAATGAGGATGTGCAGTACTACATTTCATAGAGCTCCTGGAATGCTTGCAAAGTAGGTCGACTTTCACTTTTGACTATTTCGATTCAGATCTTGCCTAAAATCCCACCAGAATGCAATGTAATTGCAGTTCTTAACTTTATCCTATTGTGGTGCACAGATTAAAGGTTCTGGTAGAATCCTCCAGGTGATGAGAAAGAAATTGTGTTGTACTAAAATGCTGTTGTTTAAAAACACATACTGTGAATGGGTTTAATAGGTTTTTTAGGTATCTTTTATACCATATTTTTTTACAGCCTATATATTTTGTTTAGAAATGTTTTATGTTTTTTACATGTATTTCAGTGGAATCTGTTTATAACAAATGAAAGCATTGTCCACTAATTTCAAATTGTAAAGTATAAAGTTAGTTCTGAGAATAAATGAAGGTGAAAAAGACAATAGAGAAAAAGATAGTCAATTTAACACTCTTCCCTTTGCATTATTTCTAATTTAGAAATTTACCACAACAGTTTTTTGCTGAAATTGGCATACATTTCCAAATCTGCTATGTATTTGAAACATTTTCTTCGCAATTAAAACAGAATAATCGCAAGGCACTTTACTAAATAAAGTTAAAACGCACCAAGTAAACAAAATGTTGATTCAAGAAAATGTATTAGCAGACAGTTTTATTGGATGAGCATCTAAACAAATGCATGTTTGGAAAGAGAAGTGTGACATCATGTTGGGAAACATGATCACAATATGGTATGCTACATTTATAACTAACCTAGTACTAAGATTCCAACTTTTTTGCATACGTTTTAAGCTAGTTTGCTTGGCTGTGTAACTCTTGACATATTGCTTATGTCTGTTTAAAAATATGCATGTATTTAACAGTTTTGCCATAGTATTGCCATTGAATTTAATAAATATATTTTCTTACTCTATTATAGGTTTGGACATTCTTTGCTTATGTATTTTTTTTATTTGAGAGGGTCAAGTGTTTCTGTTTGGTGTAAACTGAGTTACTTCAGCTTTATACCAGTGTAAATGATGACAGAATTTGGCCCAGAGTATTTAATAAATCTGCTACTAACCTCATGGCAATGTGCTCCATTGTT